AGCGACTGATACACGAGGGTGATATAAGATGTCGAAGGTGCTACGAGTCGATAAGAGTAGGGATCAGCAGGGGTAAACCCCTGGGTATCATAAGCCCAACCCACACCCCTACCCCTGGAGGGTCTTACCCCTCAGACCAAGGGTCAGGGGTAACCCAGGGGTATTATAAGGGTACAAGGGTATCACAAGGGTACAGGGGTATTATCACCATCTAGGCTAGAAGATATAGTAGGCTGACTTTAATTTATGCTTCTTGAGTCCTAGCCAAGTGTGTAGATGAGACTCAAACCATGGGCAAGTAAATCTTATACATTATGAACCATCTAAACTAACTTAAATGTTTCCTTTGATTGTATTTTACTTATATCATACTCAAATAAGAGCTAGCTCACAATATAAGATCACAATAAGCCCAATAACCATTATATTGTTGAGAACTTCAAAATTTTATACTTATCAATCACTCCTATGGTAATCAATTTGGGGATGTATTATGCCTAGGCCCAGGGGTACTACCAATTGTCCAGGGGTACAGGGGTCTCCAAATCCAAACCCATACCCCTACCCTCAAGTACCCTTACCCCTGACCCCCAGGGGTTACCCATACCCCTGCTGATCCCTAGATAAGAGTCAAGAAAGGAAATAAGAATTCATAGCATGTCCCGGAGGTTAATCCTCCGGGACTCGTACCGTGTGGGTGCACTCTTCTGTCCTCTTTCATCCTCTTTCGTCCTTATCGCCAATAGACACAAGGGCCTCGCACCAGTGATAGTTAGCAACTTTTGCACTCATCCTGATAACTACAGACTCGCATCTTACTTCATCGACTTAAGTCTCATCTTTCATTCACAGGACAATTTAAATAGAAGATGATTCATCGGACACAAGACAACTTGGTTGATTATCTCAAAAATGCATTGTTCCTACATAAGGCTATGTAACCCCCCCTGCCACATTGTCGAAGATTGTTGCGATTGTTATCAATATATGGTCTTCCATGTCATTTTAATATGTTCGTCGGTCCATTGACGGTAGGGGAGGGATGGAAATGAGCATTGAAAGCATCGTCAAATAACTTGTCGAACTCGGTGAATGGATCGTAAAATGTGCGCACTAAAGACATGATTAAGTGCAGAAATAATAGATTTCGGGAGAGGTGTTTTGGTGGTTGTTATTGATTGACGTTGGAGGAGTTTGCTGAAGTCTGAGCGACTCTAACCAGCATTTATATACATGTCCGTGACAATATATAATGAATGTCTGTGATGTTCACGATGATACGAGTGTCTTCTAGAAGTTACCCGGTATTTGGTTGAATGGCGATCGACGACATTCTGTAATATTCCCGAGTTGACTCGGAGAAGCCGTTAGTACACAAAAGTCCTATTTACATGTGTTTTGTTTATTACTAGAAAGGAAAGTTGGACTACAATCAGACCAACGGAGTCTGTCGGTCCAACAGAGCTAGCAGCCGCATCGGCTAAGATGACAATTCCAAAGGAAGTCGAAGCATCCACGAAGAACCCGAGCACATTCGACTGCGTTGAGCTGGAACGCTGCAACCAGACGACGTCGTAATGTTTGAGTATATTATAGGGAAGCCTGAGATGATGGCTTGAGTGAGCTTGAAGGAACCGCTCTCAGAGCAAAAATGTTGGAGACAGTTGATAAAGGAGTCGCATTCTGTGCGGACTACGAGTCCATTCTCGGACCAAGTCTTTGTACATTTTGAGGGAGGGAAGATGATGACTTTCCGAACGAGGTGGTCACATTTCACCCCCAAGAATAGGATCTCCGGTTACTGTGGATCGATTAACGTACATCGATAATCGGCTTAAATCGATTCTGCATATATAGCGATACCTCAGGCTACTGATACTTACGGTCATCGAATTCTGACCTTTCTATTACTTCCTGCCCCTCAGTATTCAATCAGGGTCGGTTGGACGTGTGATCGTCTAAACCTTACTTGGCATCCAGTGTCTGCTTCTCCCGCTCCACACTGGCTTCTCTCCACTTCCTGCCTTTGTACAACACCAGCAGGATCATGCACTCGACGGCAACCATCAAACCTGCCCAGAGAGTATACAGACCACCGTCACCAATAGTATCCTAAACTAACGTCAGATTTGGCCTTCTGCAAACTGTTATGACCCTGACTCACTTGTAAAGGAACCGCAATCTCGGCAGCGACAAAAGCAAACAGACCACGGAAAGAACTATTTGCTGCTACTGCCATTGATGAGCGACCAGTGTTTGCATCAACAAGGTATGCCAGTGTGCTTGCGTAGATCCATCTATCGTGGATGAGAAGTAAAATACAATGTAAAAACTCAGTGAACGTACACGGATAAAAATCCAGTGAGGAACAGCATCACACACACAGCGGCAACATGGACTCGTTCTTGGCACACCCAGGCGTATCCAATCACAGACAGAGGTGACCACAACATGGCGATTTTCGTGCTCTCGAGGCGCATCTGAATGAATTTGCATCAGCCATCTGCTGAGTCAGTGCTAGTAGTTCGACGTTCACCTCTGGAAAGCTGACCCCTCCATTTTCGGCCTTTAGCCGAGCAAGTGTCCTATCGGACCAATAACCACCCGATATGCTGCCTGCTACTGAGCCTGCGACAAGTAGATGCGTCAGGCAGGTGTTCCCAATGCTTGTAATTCACTTACCGACACCATAGACAAGCAAAACAAGGCCGGTCTTCAATGCATCATAATCATAATACACTGACAATGTTCTTGCGCATGTATACGCAATACTAAAGCTAAACGCAAATGTTAAGGCTGGCGCGAGAGGGCATAAAAATAGGGTTTCAGCAAGAAATGAGGGCACGCACCTGATGCTATCAAGATAAGCAGGTTGTTCTTGCGGCTGACAATCGAGAAGTATGGAGGGAAAGGGTTGACATCAGCCATGGACAGTCTCATGTCTTTAATGGCTGATGGTATAACCGGCCGCTGTGCTTCGATATCTTTCGAAGTCGTCTTATTTTCTCCACCCGCTTTTGATCTTGAAATATTTTGCGACTCGTCCTTCGCTTCCGATGACTGCTGCTTTCGGAGTCTCGAATTCAATACGTTCTGGTAAACCACACTCCTTTCCTTCCTGAAGGTATCCTTGAACAAGACAAGAAATGCCGAAAAGATTATACCTCCCAAGATGACCAAGAGCCAGAAAACTGCCCGCCAGCTAAGGCCCTGTGTGAGTGCACCACCAAAAATTGGTCCTAACGAGGGACCGAGGAGAGGTGCAGAGTAGTAGATACCCATCATTGTACCTCGTTGATGTGGCTCGTATATATCGGCCAGAGTGGCAGTTCCCATACTGAAAATTGCGCTTGACCTACTCAAAGTGAGCACGGACACGAATGATTGAGGAACTGTCCCACCCTGCGGCTTGCACGATTCGCATGCCAATCATCAAACCAATAGTCCTTGACACGGCCACGATTGCAGATCCAATTATGAAAAGCCCAACGGAACAAAGGTACACGAGCTAGGTTCGCTCATTAACAAATGACGCTCTAAGGGCAACTATAGATACAAACCTTGCGGCCCTTTATCTCGCTAATCGCACTCCAAATGATAGGAAAATTGCCTTGAACCAGAATGAACAGAGATATACTCAGGCTGATATCTCCGCTGCTGGCGTGTAGCTGCTGCTCAATTTGAGCATTGGCGGCTGTTCCCTGACCGTTCAACCGATATTTGACACAACAGGATCACAGACGCAACCTACGGTTTTGTATGTTACACCCCAAACCCGAAACAACCGAGGCACCAGATATAATGAATAATATAGCAGTCTGTAGTTGTGTTCAATCAATTTCTACTTAAATATCGTGTAGGATGGAAGGACTCACCTTCTTCGTATTTGACCATATTCGAGGATCATCCTCAACCACGGCATGCTCTATATCAAGCTTAATAGGTTCATTTGGCAATATGGAACTGGGGGAATGCGGTTGGGTATCAGTATGAAACTCCACATCCTGGACCTCTATAGGTGACAGGTTCGTACTCCGTGTTTCTGCCATGGGGGTAAAATGTCAGATGCACGAGTTGACAATTGTATGGCAAGTCACGTATGATCTTATAGATGGTTCATGGATAACAGGAATGTCAGAAAGAGGACTAGTAGTGCCGGTACGATAAGAGCATGCTGGCACCACTGAAACGCAAGCTTTACGACAAACCCTTGTACTCACCTTATAGTGTGTCCAATTCCTAGCGGCCAATTAGTAAAATCATTACTTACTATGTCGAGAAATTTACGGTGGCGCTCAGCCAAAATGCCACGCGAGGGCACGGGACACCGATCGACTACCTTTTCGAGCCGGGATTCGCTGACCTCACCAGATTCGTGTGACGGCGTAAGTTATGACGAGCTCATCAGTTCCATTTGTTGAATCACGGTCATGACGTCGTCTTCTCATACGCATTTCCTTTTTCTGTTCTGTCACGTGTGTCAGTCTATATATTGTTTCTATTCCGCTCTTCCATACCTCAGTCGTTTGTTCCAAACCTCTGAGGTATGTTTTCCTACTCTCTCGTTATCCCGCCGTGTCTTACCATAGATTCTTCAGCGTTTCCGTCTGTTAGGTATTAATAATACTGTCGAGATACGCACCTAGGTTCGACCGAATCTGGGTGTGACCAAATGAACATTAGGTTCGAAGGTTCGCAGGGGGGTGTGACGCGTGACACACTGCGCTTAGGTTCGACGACCAATGTTGGGGTAGACACATTCCCTTGTATACATGCAGCGCTAAGGGGCCGCGGTGATCCTCATGACCCGCGGCTGGAGATGCTCACCTCAAGAGCTTCGTCTCTAATTTGACTTCCGTCTGGCAACATGGCAATGTCTTCTCGCTATGTTATGGTAAAGTCTTGTCAGTGTGGATCCTCCAATGTTTGGCGAGCGAGCCATAGCTCAGTCCACGAGATGGACATGGTCTGAAACATTTCCCGTCCAAGTTTTCCACACCATGCCTGATCTCCATGTTGCCTCAGAGGCTAAATTCCAGGATGTGTTATCTGTGCCTGCACAGTTCTCAATTGCTCCTTCGGGCAGCCTTTCCGTCGCTGCATTACTGCTTATCAACCTGCCTACAGTGTTAGAAAACAGCGCTTCAGCTGCTAGAATTGTTTTTTTCCAAACAGTCCCCTTCGCTCCAGTTGCCCACGGACTTTGTTTCACGACCTGTTCCGCCATTTCAAACAGCCTCGTCCCTTCGCAATCGTGCTAGAGGTGCATTTCGAGATGGAGATAAATCAGTGATCCATCCTTCATTCCCCAATGACCCGCTTCCAATGTGGGTCATGTCATACTGGGTTGCTATGTCGCATGCACTCGAGAATCAGCGTGATTGGCGCGCATCCCATGACTGGGTCTACGACAGATTTGATGTTGTTCCTACTGACGGACAAGAGTTGGAAATTATTGACGAGGTTCTAGATGTCTTAGAGAGCCTTCCATGGGATGCCCCTCTCAAGGGATTCGGTGCTCAGACAGATCTGAGGAGCACCGAGCTCCAACCGCTGTTAGGATCATGTCCAATTCACGGTCGTGTTTTGGACAGCATGATTGCTGTAGTGGTCCAGCATATGCAAGCATCAGAGGATGAAGACCTCCAGTCTGTTTCGGTCGAATCTCTTGACTTTGCAGATATCCTTTGGCTTAGCGATAAACGGTGGAAGAGCTACGAGACGGACAAGGCTTTTGTTCACCTTCGTACCATTGGCTCTGCATTACGCGAGGGTGCACTTCATCGTATCCTCCTTCCCATCAATATCGACAATGTTCATTGGGCTGTTATCGAGGTCGATGCTACAAACCAAAGCATCTCCTATGCCGACTCCCTTGGCTGGAGTTGGCCTAACGAAGACATTGATGCCATACATCGTTGGCTGGGCTATCATGGTTTTGCCAAATTCAACCGGGCGACCACACTCCAGCACGGCAAACAGCTCGACTCGTTCTCATGTGGTATCGCAGCTCTAAACACTATCAAGCATGCCTTGTTTCAAGATCCGTTGTTCACTGCCAATAGAGCTTTTTCCCTCCGTATGGAGGAATTTCTTAATATCGTTTATGATCACCTCGAGGTATGGATATCTCATTCCCGGTGACGCAAATCTGAGACTCACTCTTCATGTGTTGCAGCTCTCCGATCCCAACGACGACCCAAATGACAGCTCATATTCAGACAGTGATGATGTCGAGATACAAGAAACTCAGCTACCATCCCCCCCAACTCTGCCTACGCATCATCCACAGCAAAAACCAAAACTCAACCTCCGTGCCACCAACGCAGATCTGAGCACCGGTCTGTTCAAGTTTTTCTTGACGGTTTCACGCGATGAGCATTTAAAGCTTGCCTGGAAGCCTTCCACTCGGGAGCTCAAGGACCGGGATCAGCAGGAGCAGGCCCGTTGCCAGGAAAAGTTCGATGTGTTTGAGAAGGCTGCTCGAAAGCGTGAAATGGCAGCTGAACGTAAGAGAAAACAGCGAGCCCGTGAAAAAGATGCCAAGCAGGTAAGCATAACTTTCATTCCTATCGCCGTGCTTTATGTCTCACGTGGCCTGTCATCAGAAACCCACCGTAGAATCTGTTCTTCATGATCATACTCCCCAACCGCTAGCAGTCACCATTGCTGAGGCTTCACGTCCATACCGTCAATTGCGAAGGCATGCTCGCAGCATGCAAAAATGTAACTCGGGCCGGAAGCGCAAGCGGGAGGACACAGAGGCTCGTCATGTCAACTGGCAGAGCCCTCTTTTATGGCCGACCATCGAAACAGCTGCCATTCGTGTCGGCTATGGAATGTCACCGATTGAGATTGAGCGCGAGCTTAAGCGAGTCGATCCCTCCCGCTTTCATGGTATTTCTGCCCAAGTTATAGGAAGGTGGATTGACCAAAGTGGGACACGGCCAGTATGGCGTGCCAGTGTCCTCGCTCGTGTTCAAAAGGGCAACCTTCCCTTGACGACTGCAACACCACCAGGCATCCTTGCAAAGTATCCTGAAGTCACGAAGACCATCATCGAAGATCTCCGTGCTCTGCGTGCAGTTGGCGTGGCTTTGGATACAATGCGTTGTCGTGGTGTAATCATTGCTCGCATCACTGTCTCTTGCCCAGAAATCTTCGAGGCCACCGCCAAGGATGGCTCAAAATTTCGATGTACTGAGTCTTGGGTCAAGAAATTCGTACATCGAACTCTCAATTGGACATTCCGTCGTGCCACTCGCGCTGCACAAAAGACCCCTTCCAATGCTGATCAACTCTGTCTGGACCAATTTTATCGTCTGACCTTAACTATCCGTGATTGTGCGATCTTCGATGCTTCCTTCTATGTCAACATTGACCAGACCAACATCGTGTATCAACCTGCGAACACCGCTACTTACGAGGAAGTTGGTTCCAAGCAAGTCGCAGTGATTGGACAGGAAGAAAAACGAGCATTCACTGTGCTCGTTGGCATCTCTGCCTCTGGGGATGCTCTTCCATTCCAGGTCATCTATTGTGGCAAAACTGCTCGTTCACTCCCCTCGAAAACCACACAACAATTCAAGGACGCACAAGACTTGGGCTTTGAGCTGTGCTTCTCCAACACCGATACCTATTGGTCAACATTCCAGCTCATGTGCGATTATGTTCGCAATATTCTAGTTCCCTACTGGACAAGGCAGAAGGAGCTCGTTGGGGCTCCTGATGACCAGGAATGTATCCTACAGCTGGATGTTTGGTCAGTACACAAGTCTGTGCAGTTTCGCACTTGGCTTGATCAGCAGTACCCATGGATCAAGTACCGCTTTGTTCCTGGCGGCTGCACCGGAATTGCTCAGCCATGTGATGTTGGCGTCCAACGCCCATTCAAGCTTGCCGTCAAGTGATCTCAACATGCTGATATCGTTGAGGAATCTCTGACATTGCTGAAGAAAGACGAAGCTGCACATGTCATCCGACTCGACACAACATTACCCACACTCCGTGATAGATCTTTACAGTGGCTCATCAACGGTTACCATGCTATCAACAAGCCTGACGTGGTCAAACAGGTATGTCACTCGCATTGTCCTCGTTTTACTCATGGATGTTAAAACACTCCTGCAGTCGTTTTTTCAGTGTAAGGCTGGTACAACATTCAATCTCTCGTTCGAGAGCCTCACCAGTCGTGAAGCGCTTCATGCACTACGTGATGTGCAAAAAAACGACACCATGACTTGGGAACGCATCAAAACGGCTCAATATAAGACTCCCGAAGCCGACGAAGAAGTAGAGCCACCCTTCACGCATGCTGCAGATGTCGAGCTTGATCCTAGCGATGTTTCGGTGGATACGGTTCTGCAACACATTGCATTGGGTGAATCATCTGTCCCTCATGGCTATAGCACTGATGATTTGGGTAATTTGCTGGTGGACAATGAGTCGGAGAGCTATGAGCGAGGGGTACTGGATGACATGATAGGGCTCCAATCTACAGCTGATGGGTCTACAGAGGTTGAGGCTGAGGGCCGTGGCAAGCGCAGACGTGTTGCGAACACTCAGTACAAAGACTTTTGGATGCATTAGATGTTTTTTTTGCGTTTTTACCACTTGTCACAATTTAGGTTCGACGGCCTCAGAGTTGGTGTGACCGTCACGAAAAATAGGTTCGATTCGCCAGGCGTGTGACGGTGTGACGAACCTAGGTGCGTATCTCGACAGTATTAGTCGTTTGTTCCAAACCTCTGAGTGTTTCCGTCTGTTAGATCCTACAGGTTATGAGCCCCGATTTCTAATGAAATCCTATGATCTACCTACACGCACACCACTGTTTTAACATCTCACTTTCATCTTGTATTCAGATCATTCCTTCGACATGGGGAAACTGGACCATATCCAGGAACTGACAGGACCAGACACATACTTCGCGTGGAAATGTGAAGTTACATACACTTTAGGAATTGAGGATCAATGGTGTCATATAACCGACACCGTTGATCCCGAAGATGTCCTGGGCAGTGCGTCGTATCAACCTGTGCCCATGGACCCTCTTCTGCCCACTGCTGCTGAGACAACTGCCATTTGTGAATGACTTATCAACGATCTCAAGGCAAAGGCTATAATCACTCGTTGTTTGTCCATATCAGTACAACAACTCATATCAACAAGTCACAAAGTCTCCGCTTGCAATGCCTGGAAAACACTGGAAGATCATTTCAGACGTACCAACATGGGCTCACAGCATGTAATCTGTCAGAACCTCTACATGCTACACATGAAGGACACCGCAGATGCTTCCAACTACGTTGGACAGCACTCTGTCCTTCGCGAACACTTACTTTGCATGGGCACTGTGTATACTGATGCTGAAGCAGTCTTTCAACTCCTTCGGGGCCTTCCACATTCAGGCACTTGGCTGCAATTCAAGGGGTTCATGACCATCACCCTACCTACAATCACTGCACCACCTGTCGCAGCTGCCACAGTGGGCGCTGCTGCTGCAGTCACTGCACCTGTAGTTCCCACACCCTCAGCGTTTGACATCTGTGTCTCACATATTTCAGCAGAAGCGGCAAGAGTGATTGATGAGAGAGTATTAGCGGGGGGGGCTCCTGGGTCGGAATATGCCAATGTGGCAACATCATCTACGTCACACTCTTCGGGTGGCAACATTAATTCAATCACTGGTCTTTGCAAACATAGGCACAATCCAGAGGGGATATTCTGTATGACTGTTGGATGCAATAAAGGAGACCATGATCATGCATATTGCTACACAAAGGGCAGTGGGATGGAGGGTCAAGCTCCTTGGATGAAACACAAGAAGAAGGAGACTGCAGCTGTTGTTGTTGCACCCACTCCTACGCCTAATACTGCATCTCCTACAATAGCAGCATTTGCAGGTATAGGGACAGCAGCAGATACCTTCCTCGTGGACCTTTCTTGTGCCGTCATTAGTGAGATTCCAGACAGCACTCCTGCAGATGCTGCAGCGCTATCATACCTTGTGGCTTCAGGCTTCAACATGATCCTCGACTCAGGAACGACAACAACACTCATTTGCGACAAGTCATATTTCTGGTCTTATTTGACTGCAGATGCCGTCACAGTACATACAGTGAATCATGGAAGCCTGTCTACTTCAGGTTGAGGAGACTCTCAGTAAGCATATTTCCTCGCTATCCATAAGCCAAAGTTAACATTCACTGCTCCTGCGCGTACCTTTTCGTGTCACTCCCTTAAACGTCGGGCCATAGCCAAGCTAGCTGCTCCGGATTCTTCCCCACCCCCATGCGCGCTTTCACTTCCTACGGCCTACGGACATTAGCACTCAGCACGGACGGACAAACTTCGATTGGAGTCACCGCAACGACGCTCATGGTCGAGCGCATTCCTTGGGACAGCACTTCCCCATATACCACTTTTTGACTTCTTCATCCTCGTGTCCTCATCTCTCTCGTGCCTGCCACTCTCTCCCATACAAAACTCGGGTGTATAGTGTAGCATCTCCTCGACAATGCTTTTTCCATGGAATTTTAACCATGAACGATGATGAGGATGCAATATGAAATTCCAATGACAGTAACATGTATGTAGACATCGATAGTAGGGTAGTGTGCACGAGGTGGAGCTGCAAGCTAGAACTTCGAAGAGGGGAAAATCCAGGATGCAGCAGAAATCACTGGAAAAAGAATGTGAAGGCCGCACCAATAGGGATAACTGACAAGAAGGGTTGACAGGAAGAGCCAACGAGGGGATGTTGACTGCGAGCGCGATGGGGATCTGGCGCTAGATTTTGGTGCGGACGTGCCGTCCAGTCTTGATGCGCTGTTCCACAAAAGTAATCGACCGGCGGTAACGTCATAGCTAGGCCGTAGGTACCAGGAAGGAGCGAGAGCGAGATTGGTGTCTAGGGTTACGGGCAGGATGCAAGGGTTGAAAAAAATAGCAGAGGATGCTGTGCGCAAAGGCCGCGAGCTCGACGAGCAGAACAATGGAAACGGTAATACATAGAAAAAGCTCCGCCGGAGTTTTCGGGGTCCAACCTTTACTGCATCAGTCGACGTCGAATCGTAACATGGTTTCTTAAAGCCGATCTATTTCAGAAGGTAAAAGGTCACAATCACGGTGAGGTAGCGCGTCCAAGGTCCGCGTATTCTGGGTTAATCACTTTAACAAAACCAAGATTCAACGTTACAACACACGCTGCGGAGCGCTGAGGTGCGTAGCGCGTCTTCCCCTCAGCTGCGACCTTGTTCAACGTTTCGTATTTGTAAGGAGCGCCATCCAAATTAGTGCTAGTGCTAGCTACTGACCGCTGACCTAAGCAACCTCGCGCCCTCACCGAGGCAAACTACTTATACCGAGTACAGAGTGTGAATGTCAAGCTCATCGTCAAACCTTGGCTCAAAATCGAGGCCGACGTTCTTCGCAGTTCCTGCTCACCAGCTGTCATGTTATTCCATGCTGTGTCGCTTCACGTCCTGTTTGTGCTCTTGAACCTGATAGGTTCAGCGTACGGGTACATCCCAGCGCAGCCTTCTAACGACACGAGCCAGATAAATGGCATGAATACATCAAGGTTGATTCTTCAGTGGTACCCCAACGGGTAAGATTGCCAGCGCGCCCTCCGCGTTTACATTCTAAGCTGCTCCGTTTGGTTGCTTGGGTTGTATTCTTAGCTCGGATTGGGAGTACGTGTCCTATCAACTTGTGGGCGCAAATAGCAATGGTACCACTAAGGTGCATATATATCCGTTTGAGCTGACTGCGATCTCATCCTTCAAGTAGGGGGCCCTCGTACACTTCACTGAGAGTTTAGCGATGAACGAGACATGTAAGCGTGCATTCTATATCGACTCGGCGAGGATGCTCATACAGACAGCAACCACTCCTTGGATAGCTCTGGTATCATGCGATGCCAATTCGACGGACTTCTCTGAGGAAGTCGACATATTTACGATGGCGAACAGCTCAGGTGCTCAATCTGCTGTAAGCTTGTTCGGTTGCATGTATGTCGACAATTGCATGGCTAATTCCTTCATTCCAGCTTCTGTATTCTCTTTATTCCAGCACTTGCGTCATCAATCCAGAGTATGCTGATCCCGCTAATTTTGATCAAGTCTTCGATATATTTTCAACTCAGTCGACATCGGTCTCGAGGTGAGTTTGACTGTACATGCTTATGTAGGCCTGGTTTATGAGTCCCTAGAAACATTGAATACGAGTTCGGGCAAGGTGGACGCACGAATCTATCTGTTTATGGGAATTTCGATGCAACTACCTTGAACGCATCGGACACAACTATCAGTCAGTCTATAGTGTCAGGCTATCCTACCGTTCCTGGATATCTACTTGCAACTTTGCAAGCTTGGAATGCGACGGGAACTAACTCTACTGGGACAAGCAGTAATGACAATGGTTCCACTGGTTCGACTACGAATCAAGGCAGTAAAAAAGAGACAGGTTTCACTATGTGAGAATAATTTGATAGTGTATTTGATTTACGGGCTAAGTCTGATTACAGGATCATCCTGTATGCTATCACCGGCTGTGTTTCAGCTTTGTTTTGCATCGTCATCATCTCGGGGGTATGTTGCGTTACACTATTGATTAGTGTTGATCTAAATATTGTTCAGGCAGTTAGGGCAATACGCCATCCTGAGAGATACGGTCCCCGAATTGCGACTGGTGACCTCCGTCTTGCACGCGGCGGGAGCCAAAGCCGAGCCAGAGGTCTTGGACGAGCCATTTTGGACACGTTCCCCATTGTGAGGTTCGGCACTGTGCCGGACAATCGGGTGGATCCCACTTATCCAAGTCTCAAAGACGGCGAATTGCCTCCTGTGAATGCTAATACAGCACTGCAGCAGACAAATGATGCAGTGGAGATGAGCACTATCTCCAGTCAGGCGGTCCAGCAACCGTTACAATCAGTGGGAAGGATTACTGAGAGATACATTTCTACTACTGTTGCCACAACAAGCGTGCATGGTCAGGAGTCCAATGCACGAGCTGTACCTCGGTTGACGCTTCCACGACTGCCTGCTACTTCCGACGCGCCACCATCCTCAGCACGGGATGTCGATCCGCTGATGCCAGAGGCAATCGGACGTGAGACATGTCCCATCTGTATCGTTGACTTTGAAGAGGGTGATGAACTAAGGGTATTGCCTTGCGAAGGAAAACATCGTTTCCATCAGACATGTGTTGATCCATGGCTTTTAGAGCTTTCGAGTTCTTGCCCATTATGTCGACAAGGTGAATCATGCCTCGCGAGCTCGAGATAACCTCTTACTAACGGACGACAGACTTTCACGCTCTTGAAGCGATGTTGTCAGGGTACGCGGGTGGTCGTGATACTCTTTCTGTATTTCCTTCCAACCGGCGTATCAGCCAAGCACCCTCGAACCAACAAAATCGCTTTTCTCGCTATTTACGATCTGCACGGCGGCGGCACCGTGAGCTTGAAGAAAACGATGATGATGCTACAGACCCGTCTATGTCCGCGACTGTTGACAATTCACTATGACCCTTTGGATATTTACCCACATTTATTTTCCACTACGATCAAGTTGTATACACCATAGATCCCGAACTCTGTACGAGCCCTGTACATGTGACCTACACCGTATTCCCGAAGAGAGCCGTTCTATATTGCTAGTACGTCTACTGAACCCACCGCGATCTCACTGAGTCAGGGCTGAAAGTCTCTTGGTCGACACTAGACAAAGAATGCCTGATAGGATAAACTGGTCTAACACCCAATGTGCAATCTAAAAGCTGATAGGATTCATATAGGAATTAGTACTGACGCAATATGTTCAACGTTAACGTTCAGCGGTAGCGCCGTGTCATTCTGACCACTCGCCAAATAAGGCAGAATCTCTCCAAAATATGACAACGTCATACCGGCGTCAGGCATGCACAGCTTTCCCGTTACTTTCAAAGGGTATATAAGGTCGAGGATATTCACTTTTCTTCCCCAACATCTTCTCTCCACACACACCCACATATCAACTTAAACTCCCAATCAATATCATCATCACAATGGCTGACACTGGACGTCAATCTATGACCGACAAGGCTGCTTCTTCTGTGAAGGTCCGAACATTTTTCCCCTCGGAATTTATTCTTGCGCCTGACATTGTCTTAGCCCGACTCTCAGAAGTCGATGACCGAGCAGGCTGGTGACAAGATGAAAGGAATGTCCGATTCTGTCGCTTCTACTCTCCAACCGCAGGTTAGCCCCTAATTCGATTTAAGGTTTTGATTGACGCTGACGGTCTGATTTCAGAGCGAGAAATCCACCACCCAGAAGGCCGGTGACACCATGAGCGAAAACTCCAACGAAGGGCAGGTGAGCTGAGGTTGAACAGTCATCTCATTAACTTGTGACTGATAAAATTTCGTAGGAGTCTTTGATGGAGAAGGCTAAGCACGCCACGGGCATGGGTGATTCGGAGACGAAGTAGTCCAGTCCTTTCAATACGAGCGTCTCATATACTGTATCATACGTCGGGATAATTGTGATTTTTAACACACAACGCACTTGAGCTTGAATCATTGTCGCTGGTCAACGTTAAAACGTTAACCACCGAATCTTGCCAACCTCCTTCTGCGCATCTCTTCCACACTGACAGACTCTCTCGGTGCTTCCGGTTCAGATATAATCGTACTAGTATCCGCTTCAGATTGATCGTCAATCTGGTCATCCTCAACAGCTGCTGAGATGTGAGGTGGAGGTGCTTGTCGTGTCTGAAGTGGTTGTACCGGAAGAGGGATGAATTCAGATGACACATGGTCCAATGATGCTCTTAGCGCAGCCTGAAAGTTGGCATCGTCGTCATCGTAAACTCGGTCCACATTTCCCCTGCTATGTGGTATCCCTGCTTGGGGAGGAGGTGTGTAATCCGAATCTTCGGAATCATCATCATCCAGTCCTCTGGCGTGTCGCCCTGCTAGCGAATCCGCAATTGCACGACGGAGATGCTCGTCTTCATTGCCATCTTCTGCTTGTGATCCGTATGGGGGCTGCCGACTTCCAAACCGTGCAGCCTCTTCCTCATACTGCTGTCTAAACCCCAATTCTTGTTCATGTCGCATGCGCTCCATGAGCACACGATCGCGCTCCATGGAAGCAGTAATTGGGTCAACGTCAGCGTTTCCGTACGGGTCCTGGTTGGGAGGAATGCCCGGCATAACTCCTCTCGTTGAACCCGATCCACGAATATCAGAGGCGAATAGACTACTCTGCGCGGGAGGGTAGGAAATCGGCATAGTCCATGAACCGCCGAGTTCTCCAGCCCCAGTCAGTGATGCTTGCAAGGCTGCTTGCAGCTCCATATCTTCGTTCTCAAAGCCAGACTCCACGTCATCCCGGGGTGACGATGAAGCCGAGGTAGGATCTGGTAAAGTAGATGCGATATCATCTGCGTCTGTGTGGGGAATTTGAGAGGGTGCATCTGGATCGATCTGTGTGACTGTAAAGATAGAGTATCCGTCACTCTCAGCTTGTTGCAGGAACATGCCAAGGTAGAGTTTGCTGATCCATCGTGGCTGACGTTTGGTGGAATCGAGGTTGAACCAGTGTCCATCACCTGGAATAGAGAGATCTCCAAATCGTCGCAACGTGTACCAGTGTTGATTCTGGTTGAGTACGAATGCGATTTGGTTACTTGTGGGATGACGATATGATGAGGAACGAGAGATGATAACTCATGGTAGACGGACGTACTGCGGCTCATTCTGATATGGCTTCATAGCTTCAGAGCGCCATCGAACGAGGCTGAAATAGATACTATAAGGTAATGCACCAGATATGAAACGTCAATTGGACAAACCTGAGATTCCAGATATTAAGTGCCTCTTCTAACACCTGCACGGAGAAGAATCCTGAGGAATCATTAACGCTTCATCCAGCTGAAAATACAAAACAAAATGCCTGTATCATCCATGTTGGTACTAGTACGTGCTCGATTGGCGTCGTCATAACGCGATGACTCTTCCAGTATGTCCAACTTCCGAGCGAATTGAGAGAGATCGGGCGCTGTGAACTATGGCGATCACACAAGTGAGTATACGATTTGCAATTTAAAGAAGGATACCAACATAGTTTCCCTCTGGAATTGGTGAATGAAAGCCGGTGAACACTAACATCGAGCAATAGATGGGGTACGTACGAAGTAGTGAATTGAGGGCATGCTGCGCACAAAGATTTGATCCTTCTTGCTGCCTCTCGTGGTATATCATGCGCACAAGTGGTTCCAGCCCTGCCATGTTGAATTCGATTTCCTATAGACTTGTTAGTTCAGTGGATGGTAAGCGATGTAGTTGCCCAAGTGGAAGTGTCATTTAAGGGACGCGCACGCGTGTCTTACGTAATTCAAGTACTACTTGCGACTTGTTCGCCGTTTGCCCTAGTTCATCATCTTTCCCCGGGTCCGCATATATAGCCATGATTTTCCAGCACTTCATACCTCAGTCATTACCTTTCAATCTGTTATCCTTACTTGTTTTATTATCCTCCACAGTTCTTGTAACGGCAGAAGACTTTGATTGCCATGTGTCGACTGGAGGGTTGAAATGGGACCTAACGTCGCTGAAGGGCTCGCACACAGTGTCTAGGACACGAGAATCACCGCCCACCACTATGCTGGATGAGCTCAGATTTAATTTGTGCAAGAACTTGAAGCCAATGCATGGTGTGCCAGAAGATGAACAGGCAAGTCCCATCCGTGATAACCCAGCACTGTCAATGTTAATGTAAACCGCAGTGTCAGACTGGGACAAGGGCATGTTTGAGGAAGATAAACAAGAAGCCCGAGTTTACAGACCGGGTGATTGCTATCATACCTGTCGCGTCGACGTCTGCCCTTGAGCCAGAATATTCCCAGCTTGATTGTATGCGGAGCTTCTATTTTATGTTTTGTTATGCATACTTAACAAATGTGACAGCACCGAAAGGTCTCTCCTTGACATTTCGCGGACCCTCATACCCCTCCTCGTCTGATGATCCCCAGTCTATCAATTTCTCTCTCTTTTGTGCCGACGATGCAGACCCTAAAGCAGAACCCACATTCGTCTCATATGAGAACGGAATTGTACGTGTCGATTGGAGTACACCCTCAGCGTGTGGTTTGCCGGATGATCAACCTCCTTCACAAACCCCTTCACAACCACCACCACAAGAGGATGATGACACACCTGCGGATGAAGGCGGTGAAGAGAGCGATACGAAACCAGCGACGAGAGGCAGTGGACTTGGGTTTTTCTTCCTTGTGTGAGTGGTATAATGTTGATACATAAGGAATACGACTGACTCCTTATTTCCTAGCCTCCTTCTGGCATTTGCAGCGTATTTCGTACTAGGCGCATACTACAACTATTCGACATATGGTGCCCGCGGCGTGGATCTTATACCGTGAGTGCATCACGATTCTTTCTCTGGAGCAAGACCTTACACCTGCGTAGACATCGAGATTTCTGGCGCGAGGTGCCATACATGTTGCAAGACGTTGTGTCTCATCTATGTTCAACGGTTCGACCACAACGGTCGACTCGTGGAGGGTATATTGCTGTATGATGATCACGTTCTGTCTTCTGGGACATGATTCTGTTCAAGGATATAGACATGGTGCATGCCTTTTTTACTTAATTACCCTAACGCCTTTATACTGTTAAACTACGCTGGAAACAGAATGGAGGTGGGAGGTGATTAAAGATGTAATGTCCTTCTGAAATTGATCCAGATGAAATCCACGAAATCCATAACTTTAGCAATGCTGCTGCGAACAGGCGCAGCTAAATGTCTCATTGAGTGACCACTGGGCTCATCGGGTTTCAATCTAGCCTTTGCTGTCACGCCACTGACTTTGAGGCCTGATATAGCTCAGGCGCCTTTTTGGGGGCTAGTAGGCCCATCAAGCAACAGCTGCTCCTCGGACGTGTGCTTGTGGTCCGCAGGTATGATCAAGCACTGGAAGCCATCAATAGATATATCTGCTGGCGGCCGCTATTATCCCACACTTCTGAACGCTTTCTGTGATTAGCGCAGGCATGGTTGGGACTGATACGTACTAACGTTTGTTCTGGGTATAGTTCAAGTCTGGTTGCTGCTGTTACTCAGGCATGACTCAGGTGCCTCGATAGATAGTAATATGAACTCGTGGTCAACTTTCTAGCGAAACAAGAATTCGCTCCACTCGATTCATGTTCACCGACTGCTTTAGGATTGAAAAACCTATCAGACATGATACAAATACATTGCATTGTGGGGGTTGTAAAGTATACGTGACTAGTCCGTTCCGGTACATCGAAAGCATTGCAGTGGGAGATATAGCAAGATAGTGATAAAAATGTGAGTAGGGGTAGATGTGCAGATGTGAGTTGTGATGATGATACAAAGTGAAATAAGAACGAAGTCTGATTGTAGTCCATGATAGCGATGAATATGTGAGTAGGGTGTGGTTTATACAAGAGTGAGTGGGTCGTTGTGTCAACGATAATACAACTTGAAAGTCAAGGAAGAGCTGGCGGTGATAAAGTCCGATTGTAGTCCGTTGGAGGCGAGTACGAAATACTGAGATCTTGAGAGATGACAAGTGACGAGCCAATGCGACCCGTGCAAGGCAATAATCAAACGTTCTGAGACAAGTGAACATTCCAGCTATCCGAGCCGTCTCGAGCTCTAGTGAGGCCAACGAAGAAGACTTTTGGGCCCAAAAAGTCAAAACGTTTTACGCCCAGCGCGTGTTCGCGCTGGTCTGCACGGGACCTAGCCCTAAAAGACTCGATAGCGGCACCAACTGCGTGGGAAGGTCTGTGCATTTGCATCTCGTGCGATGTAACACCTTGGTTGAGGGTTTCCCGTATCTTGAGCAAGACGTCATTCACGGTGATGCCATGGGGGTTTACAACTTCTATTATCCAAGCAGGGAGCTCTGGAATAGTAATGGTCATACGAGAGACTTTTGGTTGTAGCGCGAACTCCCAAATCCTGGTAGGCGGACAGTCTGGTCGCAGTTGCACATATGCTAGGTCTAGCATGACGTTAAACATTATATTTGGACCACGACTCAAGAGGGGGTGTAAGACTATCATGGAAGAGTGGGTTGTAGAAGAATGTTGGTCTAAGAAGCAATATATGAGATCTGGGCAACATATTAATGAAAAGAAGAAACACGTACGCGGCACAGGGGGTTGGTGCAGATGTGCATTAGGGTGAGGGAGGGACACCGTATGAAGGTGGGGTGCGTTCATAGATGGTATCGGGAGCGATACTGGATGCAGGTACGGCGTATTTGGGGTGGGCGCTGGGGGTGCCGGGGATGCCGACCAACTTGAACGGTCAGATGTTGACCCCCAAGACTTGTGGCTATGTGAAGAGGAAGAGGAGCCCATACGGTAATGCATCGTTTAGTCAGGGAGATTGGGCAGAAGGGGAGAGGGGCGGGATTGGAGATGAAAGCGCAGTGAGTCGACGACCATCTTACGCTGTCTTATATAGCGTACTGGGGAGCGTTGTCGGGAAGTTACTTGAGCGCTTATGGTTGTCATCGTGAGTAGGATACGGAAGGTATGGGCGGGAGTCGACAGCGAACATGATCGTATATGGTAGGTTCATTGATTGACGCTGGGCGGGGTTTCCATAATTGGACAGGGGCGGGAGTCTATTCCATATAAGGCAGGCGTCGGGATCATGTGCGCTGATGGCGGTCTTATCGATGGCCCAAAGTCTTGGATGCGCCCTCCGCCGAAATATATCACCCCTAGACTACATTTACTAAATTTAATTACATAAAATATGTAACAAGGTCCGTTCAGTTCACACAGACAAACTCAACGAGGTTTCTTTTCCAGTACTGCACTCACCGGGTGGCGCAAGCGCAGCGAGGTCCAATTCAGGCTCCAATCGATATGGTAATGTAATTTATCCTGCAACGAGTGATGCATGTTGATATCAATATTTGTCTGTTGACTGGTCAGATCACGGTCCATTACGGCGACGAGAAAGTGTAGTCGACACCAAAGGACTGCACAACCCTCTTGTTCCCTCTATCAACGGTCCACCAAACCAATTCTCTCCAAAGCTATCCCTGTCCTTGCCCTTAGTCGACTTGTAAAAATCTTCTCCGAGCTTTTGGGCTGCGCACCGGACTCGACTGCTACAGAAGGACTGCATAATACATTTCAGCACCCTGTATGCAGGAATAGCATGTCTTTGCTTATGAGAATGCATGCTTGCCGTTTTCGAATGGAGATTCGTTCCCGAGGCTTTGGTGCTTAAGGAGTGATCAAGGTTAGAACTTCACTGAACCTGAGAGCTCAATCCGGGTGTCGTGTCACCCACACAGCTCGGAACCCACAGCTGGTCTGAGTCCACATCTACGTCAAATGACAGGCATGCAAGTTTGGTGTGCGCACGATCACATTGTGCTCTGAGGTAACGTGGTTTTGTTTTCCCATTGCTCGCTGTGAGCCGCGTCTGCTCGACAGTGTAGCGCGCCATGGCGCTCATGAGGAAGGATGGATACCCTAATTCTGAGTTTTGTCTGGCCGGTTTGGACTGGAATCCAGGGAAGGTTGCAGGACTCAGGAGTAGAATTTGTCAGCGAGGTCACGTGAATTCGCGCCTGTGGTAAAATGAGGCAATAAAACCAACTTTATCACGTGCTCGTCGTAACATGGATCACAGAACTGATATGTCGCATCTTCACTCAGACTACCACTATGGCGCATACAAATCCAGCAGACGACGAAGAACTTAACAACGATCCAGGAGCATATGTTATTGGGTTTGGTAAACACGCTGGTAAACGACTCGATTCCATCCCCACCCACTACAGGTTGTGGGCGACAGGAGCCGAATGTCAACATTTCCATGGGGTGAGAACTCAATGTGGTAGATATCGCTGTCACTGAGAATAATTGCAGTATGCAGATTTAAAAGAGGCCAATGATCGATATGAAGAAAAACTTCTCCAAACTCCTGAAGCCTACACCTTCTCCTTCGGAAAACATGAAAACAAAAGACTTGACGAAGTACCAGAAGATTACATTTGGTCTGTTATTCGCCCTTCGTTTTCTAATAATCCCTGGGTAAGTCGATTCTCTTGTCATGTTCATGTTTATATATATCGTTGCTGCAGTACCAAAGCCTGGTGGAAGCACATCGTCGTTACCTGGACCAGGTATACCAAAACAAATCACCAGGCTCAGTTGTCATTTGGTTCGGGCAGCAGTGCCGGGGGCACACACTCAGCTTTGCCTACAAGCGGCGTGGTTTCATTGAATTTTGTCTGAGACCAGAGCATAAATTTTTTAACTGGGTGAGTCACGGTTTCCCCGACGGCGTCTGACATTCGGTAATCACTCCTATTCCAAGTATTACAAACTTGAAGACCTAGTTCGGAGGTACGAAGCGCATCTCGCGAGCCACCGACGGCCATACCGCAGAAGAAAACCTGCACATGTGGAAAACCCCGTAGGGGAACTTCTGGGACATTGGGACGACCGTGGGTCTGTGGAGCCAGGTGATGAATATGAGCGGGATGACTTTGTAGTCGACGATGGTGAGGGGGAAGATGAATATTCCCAAGAAGATAGTGGTTCCCAATCAGACGATAGCAACGACGACCACGGATTTGATGATTTCCAGGGTGAAGAGATATATGATGATTCGGAAGTCAATACAACCGGTGACCCAGACGGATCAAGTCCAGAGCAGCCTTCTTGCGCGAGTGCGGCTGTCTCTCAAGCCTCGGAGTCGGACTCAGATTCGGATGACGATACGCCTTTAGACGAATTGCCCAACAAGATCAGGGCAAAACGTGTTTCCGGGAAAAAGAAGGCAGAGGTCGTATCCTCACCCAGCCCCCAAAGAAGTCATCGATGTGAAGGCGAGGGCAGTAATGATGATATCGCTGCTCAGCCCCCACAAAAACGCCGCAAAGGTACTGATCATTTTATGAGCTGTTCATGCATGATCTCAAGTGCCACGATGGCAGGCCCCCGCTTGGTCCGTGATAGGCCTGCCTGGAATGAATTCGATTCCGTAGCAGAGCCCGTCGCTTCGACGTCGCATCTTGATGAACAAGAACTCTCTCACTCAGGGTCGTCCCAGGAATCCGCTGCAAGTTCAAGCACAGCTGATGAATCGCAAGTTGAGGATGAGTCTTCGCCAAGCGACAACGAGGAATTATCGGACGGTTATATTCCTCCTCCCTCACTCTTGGGAGGCTACTATCGTTCGCTTCCACGTGTAATTAGTGGCTTCTGTCACCAGAAGATGTCTTAGCGGAGCTCAATGGCATACGAGCATTCGCGATGAACTTTGATAATAATATTCGTCCGAGCTGCGATGTAGTATAGAGCCCCGTTTCATTTCCGAGCTCAGGTGCAGGAGTTACGTGACAGCAGTGCGAAAATCATGACCACTGCCACTTTCATCGTGATCTGAATCATCTGATGGAGTAATGACCTTCATCAGCTTCTACCTATCTGGAGAAGATGCTCTCACAGCTAAGCAGGAATTCGATCTACACAGCTTGTTTTTAGCGAGCTTCTCTGTTTCGAATCTTAAGTGAGTTCGCGGTGATGCGCCCTCTGTAGACAGCGCCTTGTATTCATACTGGCCAAACTGACGACATGTGGGTCCAGGAGACACACCGCGGTCACCGACGTGTGCGGGGGTGATAACTGGGGTGTAATTCATTGCGCCACTTTGTCGGTGACTAGTGTCAGAACTTTGCAAGTACTCTCGCGATGACATCGCATGGATGATTGGCTCAGTACAAGAGTCATCGACGCAGCACTTGGTTGGAAGGGACTCGTTAAATCAACCTCAGCTGCGGGGATGTCCTTGTTCGAATTGGTCGCAACCCAAAGATAAGAGAGCTGTGGCAACAATAAAACAAGTCTTGGCGACGAGTTCCCAGAGAGTCGAATCACGCCGCCGATGAATCACATGGACCGGTGAATGAATACGAGTGAGGCAGTGAAAGTACAAGTCACCGAGGTCCGAGGTGTTTAAGGTTCAAGGTGCTCGTGTTAGTGTGTAAACAATGTCGAACTTGAAAACGTAGATGCCCACTGGCGAGCTTCCGCCATGATGAAAAACCCAGATAGGGCTGATGTTCAGAAGGCTGCTTCACACGAAAAAGGACCTGGATGAGATCGGACCGACATATCATGATGACAACGAGCGCTATGTGGCTGATTGCGCTGATCATTCTACGATTAAGACACGATGATTCGGCCAGGTACGACCTAGGATAAGCCAATGCACCTGTAGGTTGTAAAAAAATAATTATTCCTGTTGGGAATAGAGAAGAGGAAGCCGACCTGAGTCCCGACGTTCCGAATGACAGGGAGGTTGAACCAAAAAATTGCGCGAGGACGATAAGGAGTTATGATGCGGCTAAGTGCTCTGATTAGATGTCCGACGGTCCAAAGTTGGGATCAAACGATCTCTTTGTTCGGGTTACAGCTGCCTAAAACATTGATTTCCGTGCCCGCGCTAGCTTAGAAGCCCTTGTCTGCAGACTCTACCACTTATATAAAAACCTTCTATAGCCTCTGTTATGCCGACGTTCATTTTCCAAACGCCCGTGGGCTTTACCCTAAAATTGCCGTGTACGTATATCCTTCACATATAAAGTTCCCATCCGAGAAATCAGCCTCGTGCCCTCTTTATCGGTACACCCGCTCTTTGCTCACACATCATCTTTTTTTCCTTCAGCGATACCTCCCTCCGTGTCCCTAAACAATGCCTGCTGAGCGATCCCGTGGCTCATTGAAGCGCGAGTCTTCAGATGGTATGTATATCATTCAATGCATAAATATGTTTCCAGATGACCTGATGTCTATATTAGTAGGCGCCCAATTAACTTGGACCCTTCCGCTTGAGCCTGCGTCTCCTCAGAGCATTGCCTTTGCACCCAACGTAACACCCATCACTTTTAACGAACCACCTCACACTGTTCAAACTACATTTGAACCTGTACTCTTTCCCACTCCTACCGCGGAATGCTCGTCCCGTCGGCCCACGCATAGCAAGAAGCGGCCCGACGATCATATCCCCCGTCCCCCTAACGCCTTCATCCTCTTCCGCTCATCATTCATCAAAAGCCAACACGTATCCACAGGAGTAGAAACTAACCACAGCACACTTTCAAAGATAATAGGTCTTACGTGGCAGAATATGCCCCATGACGAGCGTCAGATCTGGCACGCAAAGGCAAAGAAGGCATTGGAGGATCATAGGCGGAAGTGGCCACAGTATGCTTTTCGTCCTTCTCATACAAAAGCAAAGGGTGGGACCGAGAAGCGCAAAGTTCGGGAAGTCGAGCCGAAGGACATGAAGCGTTGCGCGAAAATTGCTGAGCTCCTTGTAGAGGGCAAAAAGGGCCAGGAGCTCGAACATGCAATTCAAGAATTCGACCGCACACACGTCCCTGAGGTTGTTACACGTTTCGAGGCTCCCATAACTGCTAGGGCATATCGCCGATCTTCATCCGCTCCCATTGACAACCCGGAAACGAAGAAGCCATTCCTTTCATCCTCGCCCGCGCCACGCCGTGTAGTACGTTCCACAAGCAGCCATCCTTCCCTTTCGTCAACCTGGAAATCTCAATGTGACGATCTTCCGCCGAGACCCGATGGTTTGGCGTCAGAGCACTGTCTTGATGTGTCGGCATCCTCTTCATTTATTTCATCAGATTATTCTTTCCCTGCGAAACCGCAACCTTCATTGGTGAGCCGCGCCGGACTATTCGGCTCTATTCCGTTGACAATTTTTTTCTGCAGGAATTTGATCCTTTCATGTTCGACGTAGCGTTCGGCAATTCGATGGCGTCTGCCGGTCCAACTTTCCCTGACTTTTCTCCTTCACCGTGCGAGACGCGGGTTCAAACGCCTTCATTAGTTATCGACACCACACAGGGCAGCTGTGACTGGTCGCAAGCTTCATCGCCCTACTGTAACTCTCCTGTCACTCCTCATTTCTCCCTCAATCCTTCTTTCGACACATTGTGCGCAGAAAACGACGATCCGTATACGACCGGTTCATTTTCCTTCAATAACTCATATCCCCTTCCTTGCAATGGGGGTTTCCCAGACGCTTTCAACACATTCGGTCACCCCGAAAATTTGGCCTCCTCGTCGTTCTCGAATGAAGATTTCTTCTCGAAAAATCAATTTTCCTTATTCGAGCCGGGGAAACTGGAGCTTGCCAGCGTGGATATGGAATTTTCCGCTTTCATGTCATCATTATCGGCCTTCTGATCACGAGTGCACTGTTTTTCCTTGGTTTCCGTTAAGTAACCAAATGATGTATTTTTAACGACCCAACGCGCGCGGAACTTTTCTGTGTAACAACTTGTAACATCTCATCTCATTTTGCGATACATACTTTCACACTTCCGTCATACCCACTTGCTTTGTGTATAGTTATACATATCTACATGTACTTAGAACACTTCTCTTTGCCAGCGCAACGGAGAATTTTCATAGATTGCTGCAATTACATAGTCCAGCTTGAAGATTTGAATGATGATAAATCATGACGCACGAGGACTTCATGATGAAGTGACGGCATTCAACGCGCACCTGACCTTTCATATCGGGTCATGATACATGCTAGCGTGAATCGTAATAATCGTAAGAGATCGTAAGGTTCCCAAACGCATCAGGCAAGTACGGAATGGAAGATAGGGCACGTGTGTTTAAACTCTCTTGAGGTCACGAGTCCCCGACGAGGATGGGAAAGGGCAAAAAGAGGGTAGCTCCGGTTTATTCCCTCGCGCTACCACCGAACTCGGGCCTGCTCGGGAGTGGGGCTTAATATTTGGCGCGATCACCGGGGGGAAAAAAGAGGGCGCATATACATTGTCCGAGTGTGCTAAGCCCTGAGTAGACAGTCTAGACTATATGGTGCAAGAAGTGAGGATCACTGTGCGATGTGGAGTTCACTTCAGCAGAGGAAAACCTTTGACGTTAAGAAGCAGCCGATTGTAATAATAGCGCACGATGCATTCGAAGACATGACCGCTGCCGAAAAACGATGCATCGCGACCGCCACTATTACATGGCATTTCGTAAGATCAGTTATCGCAGACATGGCAGATCGGAAGTCCATGTGTAGCGCGTCGCACATGACACATGTGCTCCAAGATTAAGTTCCACGAAGTTTGCTCCAAAATTTGTATTCGGAATTTCAAGGTCTCTGAAGGTGACAAAACTCATTAGATCCCGCGGGACAGGAACATAGGAGTCCTTGTACCTTGTACCTTGTATTCCATTCGAGGATATTTTGGTTCCTCACCTGACTGATACCTGATAATCGTCATCGAGGGTTGACAAGAAGTATATGTTCACCATGGAAACACCACGAGTTCACACAACACCATTTCTAGCCGTCTCCTGGCTTGGGCCGAGCCAGCAAGCCCATGTACGTGTATGAAATGACCTACCTATGCGCCAACTCAAAAGAGTGATTCGGAAATGGTTCTTAGCGCATCCCAAAATGTTGCGAAAGTGAGTTTGCTGCATCTGGGAATTGCTTGCTCGCTAGCGTTATAGATAGATGCAGTAAGGGTTGAGTGTTTGGGAAAGCGACAGAGACAACGTGCATACCTCTGAACTAGGCCAGATCGGAGGAGATCCGCATGTAGCGCAAGCGCAAGCGTCCATGCTTCGCTATTGCGCGTACCACGAAGCGCGTGTTGGAACTCGGGCCCTATCCCAGCTAATTTTCCAGGACCTGTAGCAGGTGTCACAACAATGTTCAAACCCTATTCATTCAAGAAAATGAGGGTCACTTTCCTAGAAGGCATGCTCAGTTGTAATCTTCCTCGCATTCGAGAAAGGCATTGGTTCTGGAGATGCCACGATACACCTCAGCTCGTCGCATCGTGCCACTTGTGACTTCAGTCGTACTAAATCCATGATGGATAGTCGATACTCGGTGGCTCGGCAGTTGCTCTCGATTCCCGTAATTTCAGTCCAAGGACTGCCATGCAAGTTGAAGCGTCACTAAATACCAGAATGATCAGTAGGCGGCCATCATAGCGGTGTGCTGCCAGTCGTGGGCCTCGTGGCGTACGTAGGCAACGTTGGCCGAACCAAATATGGCAGGTGCAAATATTTACCGCTCGGGCTGACCGGGCTTCCAATGGACAACGCTCAACGTTGCAACGTTGAACGTTAAACGTGAACCCTTCCAAACTTTCAGTGCTTCCGTTCTGCCCCATCTATGGATTGTGCCAGTACAATGGTAATGATGACGAATTTATTCAAGGTGCGTTGTTCCTCAGCTGAAGTCAACTCTGCAACCTAATTTGAATTTGTAAATCGAATCCACAACTCTGGGACATGAAAACACAACACCCTACAGAAATAACGACATCGTCCCCCTCGCTGGTCATGCATTCATGGCCAAAGAAGGTGTCTGTGTTCTTTTGGTATGCGGCGAAAGCGTTCTTCATGCGCATCACGTTTCGATTTTGATCATGACTCCCAGGGATTAATCAGGCGGAGTGGTCAGGAGCATCCGCATCTCGTGTGTTAAATGCATACTTGCTACTAGGCTTGATTAAATCAACTCTTCTGGTTGCTGCCGTCGGTGTATCCATCTGCTGTCGCACCGGTAGCAGGGCGTTACTGCGTACTTATTTGCAACTGACCAGGCCACTATATCATGATGTCCATCCGTCTGTTACAGCTTTTCGCAGGTGGCGCTGTAGGCGGGATGGATCTCGCAGTATCATGCTCTCGGGCTTTGGTGAGCCTTGTATATCTTTTCCTCGTTACATGGTTCGACCGTTACATCGACGTCCATTGTAATTCATGGGCCTTCTCACCAAGAATTAATAGCTGTTAAGGAGGAGGTTGAACTGGATTTATTTCCCTTGATATGCCGCCGCATCGAGTTCTCGTACTTCTTCCCCACAAATTAAAAGCGACTATGCGAGTGCATATTGTTCCAACGATTTTATATGCTTGATGGAGTTAACACCGTCTCACTAGCCCCTGGTATATGTACGACATCTTTTTTTAAAAGAAAACCCGACACTTAGGGAACGGCGGGGAAGAAAAGTGCAGCCGAAACCTACATATTATAATATTTGAGTATGCTCGACAAGGTCACACCTAGATCCTGAAAATCATGGGCTCTCCGAATCTCCAAGCGTCATCTCGTCGAATTCCTCTAATAATTCTTCCAGTTTCACGGTGGGGAAGTCAGGTTCCTCCTCTGCATCCTGTTTGTCTTCATCCACCGCAGTAGTGTTGCTCGTATCCACTTCATCAATGTCCATTCCATATTGGCCTCCTTTCTTCCGTGCTCCATCAGTGGCATCACGCATTTTCGTATCCTTGGCCGCGTAAAGATTGACCGTCCCACGTAACTCAGGGTCTTCTTCGAGGTCCTGCAAAAACCGCTCATAATCCTCTTCCACCTTCTTCTGATCTCGTCCGCCCATACGCCCAACAACACCCCGCCCGGCCCCAGTTTCACCCTCCTCTCCAGCTTCTTTCGCAATACTCCGCAGCTTCCAATTTCTCGACTTATTTTTCTTTCTTCGGTTCGGGTACGTTTTCTTCACGAGTATGATATCCGGAATGCGGGATGAAGGAAGGGATGAGAAGTCGTCTGAGTTGAAGTTGGCGTGGCTGAGATGATATCCGAGCGCCGTGTCGCCGGGCTGCAGGATAGCGCCTAGATGTGTCCGCGTGTGGAAGATCTGGGTTGAGACACTAGAGTTCTCGTGATCCATGATCGTATCTTGGTCACCATGGGATCCATGTGATTTGAATGCACCAGACATTGCTACCTGCGCGTCGGCAGAGACCCATTTGCCACGGACAGCGCCTGAGGGCTCGATGTCCAAGATCGTAAACTCAACCAAGTCTGTCACCGTCGCCAGAGAGATGAAGGGTGCCCTCCAGTAAACCGGCGCTGATATCTCACAACTTTGCAGTGTTGCAGGATCTAAGAGCTGGAAAGAATTGCCGACCCGAGTACAAATAGTAAGCGGGCTTATGTTGCTCAGCTGCCGGGCCTGTTTTGGAGGAATGCAGACAAGGTCATCCTTGCAAATAGGGACAATCTCGACAGAGTAGGTGAATTTATAGTTTGCAGTGCCCGAATGAGTGTCTGTGGAGAGCAACTGCTCGGAACCTTTCGATCTGCGAGTGATGAGAACTAAAATACGAGCCGTCGTGAAGCAACTTACCGCACTGGAACAACCCCTGCTAAGAACTCGACCATCTTGATCGCATGACTTCGTTGACTATAGAAGAAGTCGAGGCCATCCCTGACCTCTTTCACCGATATCGTGTCTTTTTGTGTCCCGTGCTTCAAAATCAGCTGCTCGAGGTATAAAAATGTCCGTTTGTGGGAGACTTTCTGTCGCACTTGTACAAGTGCTTTCCACGTATTTTTCGCCGCAAGCTTAGTACAATCAGGGCATTGTCCGTGCTGGACAAGATATTCGATCTCAAAGATTTGCTCCAGTATCGTCGATGTCAGAACCTGATGGATGTGAGTAACATACGATACTCTCCAACAGATGTGCATACCTCCTTCTGAATCGTCAGCGAGACTCGTAATCGCTTCGAGTGAGGCTCCGTCCATATGAAGTGAGCTTCTGTCAACCGCACTTTATTCAAGCCCTTGAGCCTCTTTAGACAGATCGCCAGTAATTCTTGAGATTCTGGTCGAGCGAGGGTCCAAGATTGAGGGGGCGATAGGAAACGTTCGCAATTTCTACAAAATGAGACCGAGGCTGATCATCATGATCAGTACCGTTCATCATGCTGCTCAAAAAGTTCGCGACAACACACACTGCTTTGGGATACCCTCGGTTATGTCTACGCTACACAAATGTGAGCACTCTCAAATCATGATCTTGCATGGCCTGATGATACTCACGTATTTCGAAGACATGCCACACATAAATTGGCAGAATTTGGGACAATCGGTGTTCCTGATGATCATGATGGGGATCAGCAGAGCAAATATTTCAAGATCAAAGACTTGCCACAATCAGCACAGAGCACACGATGAACAGCGGGTCCTGGAACAAATTCCATCTTCACGAGATGGCGTGTGCTGAGATAACTTATGACTGACTCAGATCTAGATTTTTCACTCAGTTATGTCATCAATGTATGCATCTCCTTATCGAGTAATCTCGCTTGAACCCAGGGATTCGCTCCTCCCAGTTTCTTTATCCGAGCCTTCTCTACTCAGGTTATCTGCTCATCCACCACTGGCCAAGGCATTGCACGGAGAAACACATTCATACCCCCAAAATTTTAAAGGGTTTTAATTAGGCGTTTTTTACATAATAACATGTACGTCATCGTGTCGCGAAGTTCGAGTCTTTCAACGCTAAGTCCCTTACTACATAGTTGCGTGTTCAAATCTCCTTAAGCCTCTAAGCCTTCAAGGCCTCATTGTTTGATATTTACTTCTCGTCCATTTGATGGGGAAATCGTATGTCGTAGTCGTGGGTTTGGAGCCAGGTATATATCCGAATTGGTAGGTTGAAATCCCTATTCTTGCAAATTCAACGCGTCGACGCAATATGTTGGCACAACGCCAATTCCTTATGAATTTGTGAAGCTCATACGCTCTTCAGGATAGAATGCAGTGGACAAACCAAAAAAGTTCCAGGCGCTGTTTATCAAAGCTTTGATACGTACGAGGAAGCTCTTGCAGTATGGCTCGGAGCCTTGCAAAGGGGTGAAGTGAGGGCCGTCCGACCAAATGCAGGCGCTGCGGCAGCTCCTGCCACTAGAATCAAGAATGAGATGGATGGTAACATGTACCAGCCGGTGACTCCGAGCAAAATGGATCGTGTCGCCACCAGCGCTCGTACTGTCAATGTGCAGTCGCGCCAGACGCTATGGGATAATGTGCCCCTACCCCATTCTCCACGCCAAATGTTGTCACCAGAACCACCAACTGGAGTGACGCAGTACGTGGAACTACAGGACGATCCTTGGCTTCAGCCAGAAAGAGGATTGTCACCCCGAGTCACCGTGGAGAATACATCTTACACATCTTCAAGTTCTTGCGTAAATGAAGCGTCGCATTTACTGATGAGATCCCGCCCCAGTCATATCAGAAGGGTCGAATCTTCCCCCGCCTCATCCCTGACGTCCATAGAGGAAACAACATCCCCTCGAAATCTACGTCGACAAGCGACTGCTCCTGCGTCATTCGAGACGGGAGCGCGGTATCCCACTATCGAAGAGATACGTAAAGGTCAGAATTTGGATCCTCGCGTCATGATTCCGCCTTCAAGGATATTTGATCCTGCAAATGTCAAACCTCGTCCAGGGGGTGTTTCCGGTCGCAGAAAGAATGGCCAGATGGATGCAGAATTAACGAGTCCTCATTATTCTACAACGCACCTTGTGCGAGATCGTCTGCCAGCCGTCGATTATCCAGAAGACGACGAGCAATCTATTTCTTCTCTCCCACGACACCGAGTTGCCAACAAAGGGAAGAGTCGAGCACCCACAAATGCTGCAACTGAAGCACGCGCATGCGGTTATGTTTCCGCCGCCGACAGTCAACATTCGTTCTCGCAGTACCCTTACCATATTCAAGAAGTCTACTCGCTTGATAGGCCTGAACAGCGCAGCGTTGTTGTCGTGCACTGTCCACCAGGGAACGGCTGCTGTCATAGACACTGTGAAAGCGCGTCTGCCTGTAGTGCAGTAATGAATGACAGGGTTCAATCGCGCTACGCCGATGTTGGAGTCTCTCCGACAATATCAAGTGTGAGCTTGGCTCGCACAAACTCCAATGTACAGGATCCCGGAGCGCGGGTCTCTGATGCCTCAAGTAGGCAGGGGTTCCATTCTCTTTTAGGATTTTCCTCCATGCCCCAAGTTTCGCATAGCAGTCACGCTGTCGAATCGGACGTCCGTTCTCCATTTGCACGAGGGACAAGAATCCCATCAGGCCTATCCGAGTAAGTGGCCGCTCTGGTATCACCTTTTCGCCGTGGTACGACTGTGTGCCCGCGGCTATTACGCTGGATTATTTATTTCTTCTCATCACCCATTTGGATACTTGTAATTGATCGATGGGCCCATTGCTAATCAATTCTTCGTCTAGGTTGTCGATATTCGGACGACCATCCCCCGTGATGCAGGGCTCGCCAGCGAGGGACAGGCACCGCAGCGTGGTGATCAGCCGAGCATGATATGAGGATCAGACTATCAGTTCAAGCCGACATGTCCATCAGAAGGTGATGGTTGTTTTGTTGATGCAAATTGTTGTTTATATTGGTTTTGTTCTGTTCGAGATACCCCTGGCTTAAAGGATCTTGATTCCTGATGCCTTGTTTGACTGGCATAGCAGTTGGCTTCTTATTGGTGCCCGGATTTAAAGCACATATTTCTTCATGTACTTGGTCAAAAGGACAGAGGGGTGCAAGGTAGCAAATGATGGTCAAGAACTGAAATCATCCTTTGAGGTGATCGCAGGCTTTCTCACGCCACAAACGCGTTTGGGTTGTCCTGGAGAACTGGCGAGTCACGATATTTCTTGGATGATATTCTCTCCTTGACTCGCCAGAGGGCTTTGTTGTGTTGATCGATTCTTTCTGAGTCATTATCCTTATGCCCCGTAGGTTTTATTCGGCATCAGATGTACTTTTGTGGATCTAGTTTTCACGGGTTTCGGTGCGCTGAGCAAGCTGCCGCCGCAAATTATCATTATCATATGTCGCCATATGCATCTAGTGTACTTGATACGGTGCTCCACATTCAAACCCTAACCCTATTCACCTTTTTTGGGGTCGGCTCAACACACCGATAACCTGTTGTATGTGGTGTGTGCTAGTTTGAGCTTGTGGATGGTGAAATTAAGACCGAGAACACGCCGAGTATGATTTGGAATCGGGAGTCAGGCACTTCACCGTTACGATAAAGACGCATGAACGACGGCCGAGAAATCAAAATCCAATCTGGCGATAAGCCCGAGGGCCTGGACCGATCGATCAACACGGCCTTCCTGCTGTTTGCTTGACCCACTCCCTAACGATAGCTAGAAATACGAGTTTTTGTGAAAGTGTGGGGCACCGATTACACTAGAATTCGAAGAGACAGTACATGAGATAGAATCGATGGAATACCCCCAACTCTGCAAGCAATCTATACATGAATGAACTTCCTACTGTCATTGGAACTCGAAGGGTAATACTGTCATGGATTCTTCAATATGACGCGAGTTATGGTCGCTCTGGAGATACACCACTTCCGGGCGGCAAAGTGGCTGTGGCTTCAAATGAGGATGCCTTGCGACAGACAGCCGAGCGAATATCGCGACGGCGAGTTCATGGTACAGCGTGCTTCTTGCCGGTTATTAATCCTGGCATTGTGCAGTAGCCGCGAGTTTTCTTGAACAGCCTGCCTATGCATAGAACACAGGAACTGTGACTCAACCTCTCCTAGGTACGCCTCGCGGCAAGCCTGTTCCTCGGCTTGCAGATGATCCAAGTCTGGTTCCACCGCCTAAGCTTCCGACGTTTCCAGTAGCACTAGTCGAGCGACTGCGAGGGATTGCCGATGCGGCACTCGTCGAGGCTGGTATCACATGCGCAAAATCAGAATCTGGTCGTTGCTCAAGTGACATATTCCCATACCTGCACGAGGAATGCCTTTGGTACTTCTTGCAGCTGCAGCTGCCGATGTGGCTCTTGTCCCACGAATGCCCCGGACTCCACTTGACCCACCAGTACCGCGGCCACGGGGCGCTTTTGTAGCCGCAGCTTCGCGTTGTGTACGTTCTTCTGCTTCGCGACGAGCAGCTTCCTCTGCAGCCGCGCGCGCACGCTTTTCTGATTCCTTCCGTTCTGCCTCTTCCCGCTCAAGGCGTTCCTTTTCTAGTCGAGCCTGTTCAAGAGCCTGCTGTCGCTCTTGCTCAAGTAACTCCTCATCCTTGAATTAAGCGTTATCAGCCACGAAAAGGTCCAAAAATCACAGAGAATTGGAAGAGAAACGCGTCGCGAGCCGAACTATGGCATGGGGAGATTCCAGGAAAAGAACTAGGCAAAGGAAATATAGCTTACAGCCTCTGCGCCTTCCCATTGTTCATCAAAAATCAGCTTAGCCACAGCTTCCGACTTCCCAAGCATATTAACATATTTATCTAGAAGCGCATCCGTCTGTGCGAGTTGAGATGTCACTTGCTGCACAAGCGAATCAGCAGACACAAGACATGAGGATCATTAGCCGATTCCATGCTCAGCAGTAGTACACACCTCAGTGGCAGTCTGAGTAGACCGCAACGCGTCATTAAATAACGCAAAAGACGCGTTCAGCTTCTTGAGAACGAAGAGATCGCTATGAAGCTTGTCTTCCCGTGCCTTCGCAGCAGCAACCCTTCCAATCATAGTCGTATCAGCATCGTTTTCAGAGCTCTCGTCGTTTTCTTCTTCATATTCGTCGTCCTCTGATATTCTGCTTTGATCAGGCGAGAATGTTTGTGATGTTGTAGCAGCTGGTGCCAGTAGACTGAAACGTGGTCTGTCATGAAGATGAAAATGTTCTGTGTCTTTGTCTGAAAGTGAGAGCTCTGAGAGGGAAAGATCGGCGCCCCCAGGGCCCGTATAAGAAGGCGAGTCGAATGGTTCGGGTGATAGCAGGGACCCGGACAATAGTCGTGGATCGCTGGAGTTTGGAAGCGGTGACATTGACGGGGTGGAAAATGACCATGACATCTTGCGCTTAGCAATTGGAGTTCGGTCGACAGATCAATCACGCAAGTTCAAGAAGCTTTGATGGCAGTGATCATCGATCAATTGTGACCCTACAAAGCCCCACGACCGACATCTACCAAGTATGCAAGTACTTTGCTCAGTACTTGCACTTTTGACACCTAGCTGAAAACCTGAAACAATTTCGAACGAGATATTGACGAGATGGTGTGGATACAGAGGAGTAACCTTTACATCAACTACCGTACAGCTAACGTACTAGTACACTAAGTAAGGCCAAGGTGAGGCAGAAACAGAACCACGACCTTTACGAAAGAAAATGCGTAGAGTAAAGTGTGCTTGAAGTGTCCAAATCAAAGAAGTCCAATTATGAGATGCCAATTGTTCGAGTCCATTGCCTTAGTCCATCATCGAGTTTACCAACCATCCAAATCGTACATCTCTTCCCTCCTATTTTTTTCGTTCTTGTTTGATATTTTGACAGAAAACTCTGCAGGCACCTCATGTGGCTGCGTCAATTGGGAACTGATCACTCCAGTTCCCAGAGTCGCCGAATACTGGATTAATTGTCAACTCTCTGAATTGAGTTAAGATAGCATGACACAGGACACTCACATACAACCCTGTACTCGTCAGGAGTGGTGCCGGTAGGGATTGTTACTTCGATTTGACCATCAGTAAGCGCAAATCCAGATGCTATGGGACTGGATTGGGTTTCATCGCCCAGGCGAAGGTATATCTCGCCATTAGGGTTGGTTACTTGGGCAGGTTTCGAGGAGGTATCCCAGGTAACAAGGAATGACCCTCCAACAGTCCATGTAGAGTCAGATGTAGGGGAGGTGATTGTGGGTACCCAGACATCACGCCGCATCACAGCGGAGAGAGGAGCGCATAATGCGCAAGAAAGAAGGGTAAGAAGCATGAAACATGAAGTGAGAAGAGCACGGGGAGAAGTGTTGACAGACATGATTAATCGTGAAGAATTCGTAACTGAAGTGAGTAGACAACTGGGAGGATAGCCTGAGATGTTTAGGTCGGTAAGTTTTACTTATATACTGCCAGCGCAGCTGACCGTATGACAGCCACGATGCGTTTGTTTTTGTCAGCGTCATTTAGTTTATGTGATACTTTGCCGAAAAGATCGTTCGTTACTACCTTGGCCGCCGAATCTCCGCTAACCAGTGCTGGGAAACAAGGCCTCGCAACCATTAATGGCCACTGGCAATCCTGAGATTTGAACATAGCCGGACAAGGACCCCCGAATGTAGCCAACCTCAATGTAGGTTATATCCTACCTCATGTCTGTATCTGCATGACGGATCAGAGTCACATCAGACCTAATTAGCAAGTACTGAAGGCACTGATCTTGCCAAGAAGAAACTCACAACGGCCGATTCAAAGAGACTCGGAGGAGATACTAAGGATGAAGCGGTGAGCGCTTGCAAGTCCATGACTGTCGCATCGGGTGTCATTAATATCATGATCAGGCTGGATCCGACCGCCAATACAAGGCTAGTAATTCACATGGGCGTGATGTGCAAACCTGGGACTCGGGTTCAGTACAGCCTCATCATGATATCATTTTATCGGAACATCCCTCACTTGGTCAATGCACTACCACTTACTTTCATGACCGCGCAGCCTAGACTGCGTCCGATCGCGACTTGGTCGCTAATACTTGTAGTATGAAAAGCACAGGGGCGGCCTTTTGAATACCCCGGGCCGGTCAGCTAGCCACTGGTGTACCGGTGCTTCCAGAGCTCTAGAATATCGCTGGTCGCTGGCAATGGCATATACCATTTCCCAAATGTTTCGGCTAGTCATAAACATTAAATGAGAGCTTCTGTGGTCCCGGGGGTCGGACCCGGCCCCAGCAACAAGGGACTTATCGCCGCGATAACAATAAAAATCAGCCTCAAGGTGCAGGAGAAAGTTCATTGGGGCCCGTGAATTGAAAGTTCGGCGCTCGCTGATTAAATGATGTAGTAAAACGCGATGTGTGTGCGGCAATATACCGTCACATGATGGCATAACAATATCTTCCAAGTGGTTGTACCCCATTCCTTATCATGAAGAAGGAGCGATAAGAACCCTGGCCTATTACTTGGAAGCTCAGGTTCAGGTTGTACGAAATATCAGAATAAATCTTTCACACTCCCTGAACCTAATCATGTAGTCAGTGGCTGTGTACATTTTAGCATTACCACGCTTGTTGCAAACTCAAAAAGATCCTCTCCCAGTCATGGTATCACGCAAAAGGAACAGAGATATTGAGGAGGACGAAGAATCATCATCAGACTTTTCAATAGTTCAACCCGCTTCAGACGACGAATTCGATGTCGACATCTCTAGTGCTCTCACAGGCAAGAGACCGAGAAAAGACGGTCTAATCGAAAATCACCCGGATGATGACGACGGCATTGAAGAGTTGATTCACGATTCTATCTCGAAGCGAAATATGAAAGGCGGTACTGAGATGTTGAAGAAGATTAAGAGTAAAGGGAAAAGCAAGGGTGACATCGGAGGTGGAAGCTTCCAAAGCATGGGTATGTACTCCTATTCAATGAATATCGTGTGCTGATGGTGATGGGCCTCTCTAGGTCTGCACCCATCGCTTCTGCGTTCATTGACGCTCCAGGGATATCGCACACCCACACCTATACAACGTGCATCCATTCCTGCCCTTCTTGCATCTCCACCACGAGATCTAGTCGGAATGGCCCGGACTGGTTCTGGAAAGACTCTTGCGTACATGGTACCTTTAGTACAGCGTCTTGGAGGCAGACATGCACATACTTTTGGAGCTCGGGCAATTATTCTAGTCCCAGCACGAGAACTTGCCACTCAGGTTGTCAAAGTTGGGAAGGCACTCGTGCGAGGTTGGACAAATGATGCTGCGCAGCATGCAGGCGATGATGTTGACGATTCTTTGAATAAAAAAGGCGAAAGCTTGCGCTGGAGTCTGATTGTAGGCGGCGAGGGTCTGGATGAACAGTTTGAAATGATCAGTAATAACCCAGATATGTACGTGCATTTCATTCATGTGGGTATTGTCTGATATCGTTCTCGATTTAGTATCATCGCAACTCCTGGTCGTCTCCTCCACCTAATCGTCGAGATGTCACTTTCCTTGTCGTCCGTGCAATATGTTGTTTTCGATGAGGCAGACCGTCTTTTTGAGCTTGGTTTTGCTACTGCACTTACAGAAATCCTTGCTCGCCTTCCCACGTCTCGTCAGACCCTTCTTTTTTCCGCAACCCTCCCGAAATCGCTTGTCGAGTTTGCCAAAGCAGGCTTATCCGACCCCAAACTTGTGCGACTAGATGCGGAGTCGAAAATCAGTACTGATCTACGAATGGCGTTTTTTTCTGTCAAACAAGCGGAGAAAGATGCATCTCTTCTGGTACTCCTTCGGGATATCATCAAAGTCCCCTATGGAAGCACCGAATCATTCAAAGAAGGTGATACCGAAGCCTCGGGCAAACACAAGAAGGGGAAGTTCAAAGCCAAACACCCAACCCATAGTGCGCCTCACCAGACACTTGTGTTCGCAGCTACAAAACACCACGTCGAATACCTCTCTGTGCTCCTCGCCACAGCTGGCTACGCTGTCTCTGCTCTTTACGGCTCGCTGACCCAATCTGCTCGGACATACCAAATGAATCAGTTCTTGGCGCAAAAGACCAGCATATTGGTGGTCACGGATGTTGCAGCCCGTGGCCTCGATATACCAGTTCTTGAAAATGTGGTAAACTACGATTTTCCTGTCGGTGCAAGGATATTCGTCCACCGCGTGGGTCGCACGGCCAGGGCTGGAAGAAAAGGTTGGGCATGGAGTCTCGTTGCTCATGGCGAGTTGCCATATCTCTGTGACCTGCAACTCTTTCTGGGTCGGCCGTTGATTACTTCGTCCATCCCTGCATCGGCTACAACGTCAGAAGAGCCTTACACTCAATCACTACTCTTTGCGTCATTTCCACGAGATCTAATGGATTCAGAGGTCGAGTATGTTCGTACACTAGACGAGTCACAGAATACGCTGCCAACTCTACGTGCAGTCATGGGACGTGGGCACGCGATGTATGAACGAAGTCGTGGAAAGGCCAGCCCGGCGAGTTATCGACGTGCAAAGGAGCTTGGACGTAACGGACAGGAAGGTGTCATACATCCCGTCCTCATGTTAATGCAGGACGGCGATGACGGAAAAGAAGATACGAGAGAAATGGAGGAGAAGCGTGCTGCGATCGTCCGTGCGGTCAGCGCATTTAAGCCTGCTGAGACGGTGTTCGAGGTTGGCACTCGTGGAAAAGCGGCGACTGCTAATGCTGCACTTATGAAAGAACGGAGGAAGGCGCTTGCAAAGGCCGTAGAGCGGGCAGGAAATTCAGGGCCCAGTTCTTCTACTGTTGTCGACACAGACAAAGGCGGTGACGACGGTCTCGGGGAAGGTGGAGATGGCGACGTGGAAATGGCAGACGAGGAAGACATTGCGGTTCGTCTCCTCAAAACTCCAAGTGTCGATACTGATTTTCTGCAGGCTGTTTTCCATGTCTCTAGCAAGAAGAGCAATAACTTCCGCGATGAGGATTATTACATGTCCCACTATCAAAAAGACGCCATAACCGAAAAAGGGTTTGTATATTCCATCTACTCCTGATCATCCACACTGAAATTCAATATGATATTTTCCTAGCTACTCGCTCACAGACGGAGCTTCTTCCTTTGCCGCTCAAGCTCAGGGTGCCATCCTCGACCTTGCAGGAGATGAGGACACTATCGGTGCGCGTCAACGGCACCAGAACAAGTTGTCATGGGACAAGAAAAAGAAGAAATTCGTCAAAGGCGGCGGAATTGGCTCCGACAACATGAAACTTCTGCGAACCGAGAATGGCACTCAATTGCCTGCTACATATAAAAGTGGCCGGTTTGACGACTGGAAGAAGAAAGCAAGGGTGTCGCTGCCAAAGATCGGAGAAAGGGAAATGGAAAGGAGAGGTACTGGTACGGTCGGGCCTGGAGGGAGAAGATGGAAACATAACAAGGTCACGGAGGCTAAGCCATTGGACAAGCTCAGCAAAGATTACGAGCGCAAGTCGAGGCAGCTCAAGAAGAAAGAAGTGGGTTTCGCAGCGGAAGCAGGCGAGGCAAAACCGAAAAGTCCTGGTAAAGCGAAAAATATCAGAAGTGGCGGGCGTTTCGGAGGGAAATCAGTGGGCAGAGTCAAGACCGAGATCAAGACAGTCGACCAGATACGCAAAAACAGGATGGTCGCAGAACGGAAGAAAGCTAAGAATGCTCGGCCGAGTCGCAAAGGAAGGAGTTGATTTTTACACTATTTTTCCGGTATCTGTTGTTCCCCTACGTTTGCGTATGACATGTCATTGTCAAGCCGCATCCGAGTACTCCCACCTCACTCCGGAGCCTTTTACTAACGGCACGTCGACACCCTGCATTAGGTCTACCCCAACGCTTCGCAGAGCGTTTACACACCATTCGGGGTATCCGGTGTCACCGAAGTAATCGAAGAAGAATGACCTTAGGTACTCAGGGAATCGACCTTCGAGAATAGCATCTCTTGCACCGCCCATAACCCGGGCCTGAAAAACAAGGTTGTGAATCGTGAGGGCTGATGGGTGACCAAAGATCAGCTAAGTATACCACAGGAAGCAGATTCGAATTACCGTGGGCACCAGCTGTCTCTATCGTGACAATGTGGTGCAACACAGCTCGGGACATGCCGCTTGCACATGTCGGACAAGGGCAACTCTTGTCTATAGGATCCATGCTCTTTGTGTGCTTTCCGAGCTCTATTTCATCAATCAACGAGTCCGCATCGCATTGACATATGCAAAAATAAACCTACTGAGGTTGAGGGGACCCTTGAAAGTCAAGGCCACACCAAATCTTGCAGTCCGAGTAGGGAACACGCAATCCGCCTGAGCAACTTGTCAGAGAACTTCACGCTAAGGCGCACCGATCTCAAGCTTACCATGTCAACACCCAATGCGACGCAGACTAGTAGATCTGTAGTGACGATCAAGATTAACTGCGAGGAGCAAGCGCTTCAAGCACCTTCTGCAAAACCTACGCCCATGGAATAGCGGGGCCCTAAGTGCGCAGAAGTTTACAGGAGACTTCACAGAAGAAATCAATGTACTCACGATCTGAAGGTAGCCGGTCTGCACACTGCTTGATACTATGCGAGATCAGGTGCACAGTGACGGCCCAAATTCAAACTTACATCTTCCAGAACACGTCTCAAAAAGGTGCATCAGGTCGTCAAAGCCTCCAAATTAGTTAAGGAACCCACCCTTTTCTTCTCCTCCACTAAGACCCCCGATAGCATACCCGGTGACTTGGTCCTTCCGCTCGATCATTGCATCAAGACATAGATCTCGCAAGGCTGGGTCCAACCCTCCTTGAACGATGGCAAAAAGGTTCTGTTTGTCTTTCCGGCCGGATTTTTCATGCTGTTCGATGCAACGATCGAGCCATCGAACAGAACGGTGCATGGCCTCGCCAACTCGAGGTCCAACAGTCAAACTACTAACTGAGCTAACATTAAACACTGAAAAATATATGATATGAGTAGCCTCACCCACGTCATCTAGTTGCATGATAATATCCGCTCCGATTGAATGCTGTATAGAAATACTTTGTTCAGGCTGCGCCGCTCATCAACAGAAGAAGCGGTAGTAATTATTAGAGACCAACCGTCAGCATTGTGGGCTCTCCATTGAATGGACTAGCAAACAAAGCACCATCCTCAGTGATTTTGGTGAACTTGCTCAAAGAGACCAGCTGGAAGCCTCCGCTGTCCTTCGAAAAGCTCAGCTTGAGCGCGACGAATTTCTGGAATTGCACTTACGGTGAGAAGGTTACGGTTCCAACCTTGGAATTTGTGGGCCCCTCCCGCTTCATCAAGGACTTTAATCCCAGGTCGCAAATTCAGATGGTATGTGTTATTCAGAATGAGTGTGATTCCGAGCGATTCAACCTGTTGTGGGGTCAAGCCTTTGATCGCTGCCTGTGTTGCTACGGGCATGAATGTAGGGAGCATTGTGACGCCATCTGTGAACAGCAACTTGAATCTATCCTGCTGTGATGACCGTAGTACCTGATAAGAACCAGTTACCGTGACTTACGGGCAAGCTTCATTCTGCAAACTCGCGCTCGAGTTGTGTGGCATTTTGCAATAACTTCGAATTGCATATTTCAAGAATCGATCGCAGAAACTCAGAGAGGTAGATGTCTGCAAATTCCGAAAGCATAGATTCTAGAAGTTGCTCATTAGACTCAAGACGCCTGCCAGCTACTAGTACTAATATGAGCAGTTCTAATCACGTGATTTTATTTTAGCTTTTGCTGAATTGCTGCTTCCTTCAACTTGATTTGATGGTGAACAACACGAAATAATGCTTAAACCTGTTCGTAGATGGCCTAGTACAGCTCACCGAATACCCTTCAGGTGGAGGGCTATCCCCTGGACTAGAAATTTACATTCAGGACGAGACCTTTTGTCGGAGTTGAGTGCCCGCCAACTCATTGCTGATGTGACGCGGTGAGAACTACCATATTCGTAAAGTGGGAGGATATATGTATTAACGTGTTCCAGCCCAGATGATTTCGCTAAGCATTTGCAGAAAACACGGACCATCTATGCTGGGATTGACCCAACGGCAAAGTCTTTACACGCGGGTCACCTTATCCCGCTTCTCTGTCTGTTGCATTTCCGCATGAGAGGGCATAACACGCTAGCACTTGTAATTTCGCGCATTTCTATGTTGGAAGTTGACTGAATGTACTCAGATAGGTGGAGCGACGGGGCTGGTTGGAGATCCCTCTGGCCGTATGATGGAACGCTCACTGTCGGAAAAGGCTCAAATTGAATCCAACACTGTCAAACTCACCGATTCTATTCAGCAATTTTTCTCTCGCGCGACAGAGTATGCCCTCGATAAGGCTCCCTCTTTGGCCACTTTTTCTCAACTTCAAGTCGTCAATAACATAGACTGGCTAAAGGAATTGAATCTTCTCGATTTCTTGCGGAGTACCGGCATTCATTTCCGCGTAAATCATATGCTGGCAAGGGATAGGTCCGTCGCTTTGCCTTCCTACGTTTCCTTTTGTCCATGACCATGTGATGTAGTGTAAAATTGCGAATGAGTGCACACAATAGCATCACGTTCACCGAGTTCACATACCAGCTTCTCCAAGGTTATGACTTCTACGAACTTTTTCGCACAATGGGATGTACTATTCAAGTGGGTGGATCAGATCAGTGGGGGAATATTCTTTCCGGCATCGACCTCATAAACAAAGTCGAAGGAGATTGTGCTGGATACAATGAGGGGTGTTTTGCACTGACCACGCCATTGCTAACAACCTCACAAGGCGAGAAGTTTGGAAAGAGCGCGGGGAACGCTGTATGGCTTGATGAAAAACTCACAAGTTACTTAGACTTCTATCAGGTATGCTGGCTAACTATCACTGGTAATCAGCTCAATTCTTCCGACAGTTCTTCCTCCGCACAACGGACGCTGATGTTGAGAAGTACCTCAAGATGTTTACTCTACTTCCTGTCGAAGAAATAGACGCTGTTGTGCGAGAACATGAAATTCAACCTGAACGCCGATTAGCGCAGAAACTTCTTGCCAAAGAAGTAACATTGATGATACATGGAAGTGAGAGTCAGCCTGTTGTTCACTTGTGCTCTCTGACACGTCCTGCAGAGGAAGGTCTAGAGGCTGCTCGGGTAGCAACCAACGTCCTTTTTGGAACAGACTACTCAACTCTGCATGCGAAAGATATCGTGAAATCCCTTGCAAATGACCCACGGTTAGTTCTCTGTACGGAGGACGAGTTGCTCGGAATCACGCTCCCAAACATTGCTGCTAAGTTTGGACTTACCTCATCAAAGTGTTTGTCTGCCTTTCTCTGGTCCCACTGAATCATTTGTTGACTAATACTTTCAGCGGCAGCACGACAACTTGCCCTCGGGAATGGTTTATATTTGAATAACGTACCTCAGCCAGACGTGCACCTCAAGCTTGAGAGGAGTCACCTGATCGATGGACAGGTGGCAATTTTACGTGCCGGAAAGGACACACATTTGATTCTGGCACTGCGTTGAACATTCTCGTGCACTATCACCTCTGGCACCGCTATATGTGCAACGATATTGTAACTAAGCGCCATGTGATATACTCATAGTAATATCGTAGCCAAAAACAATGTTGCCCCGGGCTGGACAGCTGTACTTCATCAGTACTTCAACCGAGAAGCTTGAAATTTTGAAAACAAGATGCCTGTAGCCGCCAGACCCATTTCGTCTCGCCCTCGCGGGTCTAGAGTCTGCACAGCCTACTACACCTTCTCACCCAGAGACGCTAAATTCCATCAATCTGGGATCATATTACAGGGGGCAATACCTTCACAACAGAGAAGATCACGGAGTTTTTGCAAGTGTCTTGATGGCGAGGTGTCAATTGTACTTGTATTGTTCTCAAGAAGCTGATTTTAAACAGATTGTATAGGTTAAGATACTGAGGGCAAAGAGATCTCCATAAGTGAGATGGCTTGCTCGTGTCGTCGTTGCATGATGGCTCGCAAGTTGAAAAGAAGGCGGGAGGATAAAACGCTGTGAAACACCAACTGGAGTCTGAGTGGTGTACAAGGCAATTAATGGCGAACGCATTCAGAATGTTCGAGGGTGAAACCTACGTGTCGAGAGACTCTGCATATTCCGACTCCACCAAAAGATTAGCAAAACCTTTATTGAAAAGGGAATGTCTTACCGGAAGGAAATTTATGACTACGATGTTGGCTATTGATATCGCTTAAGCAGTTATTGAGTGTTAGCCTAGTACCCCGAATCCAAAGACGAGAATTGCTCACCTAGTATACACAACACATAAACTATACCATCCCAGTACAGATGCGTGATGAGACGGCTCCCCAGTTGTCCTCGGTGACACCAGGCTTGAAAAACATTGAGGCATAGTATGACTATGTGCATGGTCGGCTTCAGTAACTCTACAGAAGAAAAAATTGACCTGTCTCAAAAAGAACCAGCATTGCATAGTTAACTGCGTAAATTGCAATTCTTTGGGTTTGATAACAGCCAGAAGTTGCTAGTGGGGGATCCTGGTCTACATGATAGCCAAGTTGGACTAAACTCATCAAGGAGGGTTGTAATGAAACATACATTTGAAGAAGGATACAGCATTGGCACCGACTGCCGCAGAGCCTGCGATGCAGCCCTGCAAGATGTCATGACTGAGATGGATATCGCTGATTGTGGGCATGGATTTACCAGCGCAAGTAGTAGTAGGGAAACAAGTAACACTCTGTTTCTTCCCCATAACGTGTATGTCCTAACAAGAAGGAGTGCTGGATATACGGTAAGCACTATACAAAAAAAGTGCGGAGGGGTATCCATTACATTCTGCGGCAACGGTGCCAATCACGTTAAGCCCTTTGTATTGTAATTCAGAATTATAAGGTGGAAGATGCGGATATCAGGGTAGGGTACTCACAGGAGGTGACTTGGTAGAGCGATAAGCACTAGCATAGAGCTTCTATGAATGCGATATAGACTATCTCTAATATTGGTACTCACAAGCCGTGGTGACGTGGGTCCAAGGGAATCTTGATCGTTAATTGAGCAATGAAACGATTTAAATTCCACGGACACGTACAAATCAAGTCCACCGGGACGCCAATAAAAGGCGTGTATCGAGCCACCGCAAAAAGGATCCGAACAAAATCCCACCTTCTCCCCCAAGTGAGGTCGACCTAGGCGGCCACTGTGTCAATCGAAACTTCGATAGCATACTGAGCGGATGGAGGACCTGCCTCGGCTTCTAGGTTGATACAGTAGTCAAAGACCTGCCACTGAAGTCAGCACTTGTATAATTCATATGTTCGATTTCCTACCAAGACCGCCAACCCTATCACTTTCATAACTGCATGTTGGAAAGGCGACAGTATCACAAAAGTTCTGTATTACGTACTCTTAAAATACTGACAAAGTCGGGCTCGTGAGGGCTAAAATGTTCGTCTAATAGTGGCAATGCTTACCTTGACAGTCTGAAGACGTAGTGCAATCTCAGATGGGGAGGTCATGTCGAGTTAGAATAGACGAAAATCGGAAGGGAGCAGCGGGCATTGACAATTTTATCAGCCCCACTCAATAATATCACTTGGTTTCAAGAAAGCTCTTGGCAAAGCTTCTGTGGGGGAGCGAGTTTGGGAATGAGGAACCGATCACGTCAGTAACAAAGGTCTAGAACCGAAAGCACGACTGACATAGAACGTCTTGGAAATTTCCTGGTTTCAGTATTTTCTGTTATCATGGGCATTCTATACTTACTGAACTCACTGACTCAGTATTTAATCCCGCTGGTGTGTAACATACCCTTGGAAATTCTCCGAATCAATTAGGCTGGTATCTGATTACAATTGCGCGAGTCGTTTGTACACCTCCAAAATATAAATTCCACTAGTACCAGTATGGACCGTCTGTCAAGAAATCGCGGAAGGAAGAGGTCGGGTTGGGGGATGGCGGTTCCGCTGAGGAGGGAGCCCATAGTTTTTTCACAAGCTCCATGTCGAAATTGTCCTCTCCAGTTGGAAAATGGCCCTCATGGCATTCAGAGAAGCTAAAGGAATGGGTTCAGGAATCAGCTATGCATAATATTCGTCCCATCATTAAACAGAATCTCACTAGCACCGTCAGACTCGAACGGGATGCTTATATGTGAATGCTAGACATAGGTAGATATATCTATGAGCACAGTGTTTGTTAAAATGAGATTATACATGCTGTACAACAGCATGCCTCTGAGTCTCACCAGGATCGCGTTGGAGTAGGGAGGGGGTGCTGGCAAGGGTGCTTTCGAGGTCTCCGCGGCCCATTCCACAGCTTAGTCAGCACGTCTCACCATTATCATTCTCTGAAGCGCTTAATTAACGCGAATTTCAGCCTATTATCTTTCGCGGGATCTAGTGTGCGATATAATAAGTGTCCTGGCGACTAAGATTGGCATAAGTGCTCCAAGAATTCCAGCAACCCTAGCCCTATACCCTGAATGTCTATCATGAACGTGCTTCATCTGTCCGCGAGGTAGGTTAGGTTCTCAAACTTGCCCAAAGTTTAGTAGTGTCTGACAGTGGTCTGTTCGATAGTTCATGCAAAACTTCCGGGACGGCGAGGAAGTCATCTGAGTCAACTGGGGACCCCATCATGATCGTGATCGATACACTGGACGAGAGCAGTGGGGTCTCCAGTCGAATGCTACGACACTGTGGTGTCACGCTGGAGCAGGGGCTAGCCGCTAGCGGCCTACTAAGCTCAACGAGGCTGATGCATCTATCGCTAAGATCAAGTACATATGTAGATAAATAATTTATTTCAACGATTCCGTCACGTGATTACCAGTGTCGTGTCCCTATAGGCTATAGTGCTTGCATCACTCCCTAACGCTCTCAACTCCCCGAAGTGCTATTTTCTGCCATGAGAGGTACTTCTAGCTACCTCCTTGGAAGTGCACTGCTTGCTTTACTTCCTTCAGCTGCTAACGCGTTCTACCTTCCTGGTGCAGCACCCCACAACTATGTGCAGCGCGATCCTGTCGATTTGTATGTCAATGCGCTCACACCCATGCTCGCTGGAAGTGACAATTCAAAACTGGTATGTTTTTTCCATGATTTTAGGACTTTACTTTGCTTACTGGTCTTCAGAAATCCCTCATAAATTGTAAGAAGCTCGCCTATTGATTGCAATTAGCAACAGACATTGACACATCACAGACGACTACTACAATCCTCGATTTCACTTCTGCACACCCAACGGAGGTGCCAAGGATCAGCCTGAGTCATTGGGATCGATACTATTTGGCGACCGAATATTCACATCTCCATATGATGTAGGTTGTCATTGGCCGGATAGCCACATATGCAGACTCAGACTACTTCAACAGATAAAAATGCTGCAAGCTAATGCTACCTGCCAAATGCTATGTACCGCCGAAATACCTGGAGAAGATGCTCAATTCATCAATGAGCGAATCCGTGAGGATTATGCTCTCAACTGGTTGGTGGATGGTTTGCCAGCTGCAGAAATGAAGAAAGACATGAAGACTGGGGACCTTTTCTTCGATATGGGATTCAACCTTGGGAATGACGACGACGATATTCCCTACCTAAACAATCATTATGAGATTGTTCTGAGGTATGCGTGCCTAGCTATCAGTACTGAAGTTCATCAAACTCAATGCATCACTCAGATATCACGAGCCATCACCTGGAATTTACCGCGTCGTTGGAGTTCTGGTATGGCCATCTAGGTGAGCAAAAAAATTCGTGTATCATTTACTTTTGCTTACATCTTTGTTGCAGCCGCGGCGGGTCTCAAGAAGATGAGAGTTCGCCGGACTGTGATGTTGAAGTTCCAAGGTTGGGTCTATCCGAGAATGAAACCAACAACATACGGTATACCTACCGAGTAACTTGGGACGTAAGTTTGTTTTGAAAGGACTGGTCCCGGCGAGTATCTGACTAACACCCTGCGTTAAGGAATCTGACACGCCATGGGTACGTATGATGGGCAAGACATGTGCTGAGCCTTTCTGATCATTCGTAGGCAACTCGATGGGACAACTATCTCCATATTTTTGACCCCCGGATACATTGGTTCAGCCTCGTCAATTCGATTGTCATCGTTGTCTTCCTTTGCGTCATGGTGGCCATGATTCTATGGCGCACTGTTTCCAGAGACGTGATTATTGTTAGCTTCACTATCGTAATTCCAAGCTGACGTCCATGCAGATTTCACGATACAATGCCATTGATCTTAGTGTGGGTGATTAACACTTTATACGTGATTGTTCTGACGGCAAACGAAATGCAGGAGGATGTTCAAGAAGACTGGGGTTGGAAACTCGTGCATGGAGAAGTTTTCCGCGCACCCAGATACCCCATGGTGCTCTCCGTTATGGTAGGAAATGGCGCTCAATTGTGCGCCATGTGCGCTGTTACCCTTGGTAGCTCCCTTAAATCTCAGATCCCTCCGTTAACTGTCTAAAAACGATTTTTAATAGTCTTCGCATTGTTGGGATTCCTCTCACCTTCAAACCGGGGTTCTCTTGCAACTGTCATGATGGTGTGCTGGACCCTTTTTGGAGGGTAAGTTGTCTCTTCATACCGAAGCGCTCAGTTGCTTATGAAGAGATATCAGGATCGGAGGTTATTATTCGAGTAGAATATATGCATCACTTGGTGGGGTTGATAAAAGAAAGAATACATTCCTTACAGCCACCATTCTCCCGACGTGAGCCCCTTTGTCTGCAGCATTATTCTGATTACTCATTGGCTGATCCCGTTCAACAGGCTGGTATTCATAGTGATATTTTTGTTGGACTTTTTCCTTCTCGTTGCTGGTTCTTCAGGGGCCGTTCCATTCTGTAAGTTCGAGTAATCGTGTTGGCGACCTTGGAGTTCACCCAGTTTTCACCTACACTAGCCACTATGCTCTTGATCGTCGTCCTTTGGTTTGGGATTTCTGCTCCGCTATCCTCGATCGGATCATACATCGGGTCAAGGCAGGGGGTACGTGTATTGCGTGTTTGATACAATTGAAATTCATTTGGTTTCAGGGTGTATCACATCCTGTCAGGGTCAACCAAATACCTCGTCAGATTCCACCAGCTCCTCGACACCTTCGACCATGGGTAAGTCTTGGCCAACAACGTACACCCAATTTTCAACTCTATTACAGGCCTCCGCTTTACTCGCAGGGATCCTGCCATTTGGTAAGATATAGCTCATCGTTCAGTTTCTCGTTACTCACCAGTTTTGTCAATGCTGTAGGGGCTGCGTTCGTGGAACTTTACTTCGTCATGTCTAGCCTCTTTGCATCTCGCGCCTACTATGCATTTGGTTTCCTTGCGCTAACAGCAGGAGTTGTTGCACTTACGACTGGCACCGTGACAATCTTGTTCACGTATTTCAACCTTTGCGCTGAAGAGTACAGGTATGTGGAGGTGTGTTTATTTGTGATTCATTATCTCGATTCTCCCTGCAGGTGGCATTGGCGTGCTTTCTTAACTGGCGGTGGAAGTGCATTTTGGATCTTGGCCTATGGACTCTTCTACTGGCTATCCCGACTTTCGCTGGACTCGTTTTCAAGCGTTGCATTATACCTCGGCTATTTGTTCTTAATCTGCCTTTTCGACTTTATTGTCACGGGTAAGGGATGTCTCGTGATCATGACAGTAGAGCTCAATGGTTTTATCAAGGGACTATTGGATTCCTCGCATCTTACTGGGCTGTGCGGCGCTTGTACAGTGCAATTCGTGTGGACTAAGTACTGATTGTAACTTCAATGGACTTTGCGCTCATATAAATTGATTGGATTATGCGGCACGCGCGAATTTTATGTTTTCAGTGGATACAAAATGCAAACCAAGGTAAATGGAGGCAGGCATTGAAAATGAGTGTAATTCCAGCTATACGACCCAAATCTAGGTCTGAATTAGATGTAGGGATCACTATCTATGACTGGAGCATGATGCGAAGGGCGGCAATATGTAAGGAATGAAGAGGGGTTGTGCTGCTGCAATTCTTGGACAGTACTGTCACTGATGGGTGTGAAGCTGGAGATCTTAAGAAGAAAGGGAGAACGGTTTCGGAAACGCACGGGCGCTCGCGTGGTTTTCGCGTAGGGCCATGTGGTTTTCGCCTAGATACGCCTAGATACGCTTAGATACGCTTAGATACGCTTAGATGCGCTTAGATGCGCTTAAGGCCACATGGTTTTCGCTTACCTCGCTTAAACCTCTTTTTGGAAACTCGCGTGGCTTTGTCACGTGTTTCAAGCGCCAACTCAATCGCCGCTGCAGCGCACTGTGCAACACAAGTATTTTCCCTATTGTAATTGTTTATGATACATACATACAGTAGATAATAAAACTGAAAATGGAACAACATATGATACAATCTTGCAGACAGGGGGACAACAAATATATGTGCTGACAGGAAATGAATGATAAAAGGTTGTGAATAAATAAATCAAAAGGAAACAAAGACAATGTAGAAACTCGAAACCTGGTAACTGTATATGTACATGGCATTAAATAATGAAAAAAGATGTGTTTGAGCAGGGCAAGGCAGATTTGTGATTAGATTTGAGTTTTTTCCCTACTGTAATTGTTATGATAGTATTTGTATGCATACAGCAAATAATGGAACAACATATAATACAATTACAGACAGGGAAAACAAATGAGATCAGGAGATGAATGACAGAAGGTTATGAAAAAATAACAAAAGGGAGAAAAAGACCACTTGGAGACTCAGAAACTGGAGAATGGGAGGACAGGAAAATGGGAATGGGAAAATGGGAGAACCAGAGGACGGGAGACGGGAGACAGGAGACAGGAAGCAGGGAAAATGGGAAAATAAATACATTTAATGATACTGTTACATATTTTTTGTAATTTTACTTCTGTCAAACTCCTGCTCAAAGAATGTAGAATTGACTGATCTTATGTACTACTTTTAGTGTTTTTGAAATGCTGCTCATAAATGTATTTTCAAAATCCACTATCAGGGCATGATCTTATTCAAAATACACAATTTATTAGGATGCAGCCTGAGGCCAGGAAGCCAAAGGAGGGCGCAGCCCTCCTTTGGCTTCCTGTGACGAAGGAACAATGCTCATCAGGAGCCTTCAGAATTATTGGGATGAAGCTGAGGCCAGGAAGCTAAAAAAAGAGTGCGAAGCACTCTTTTTTGCTTCCTGTGCCGAAGGCAGAACGGGTGTGGACTAGTTCGATAGTGCCGGTGACCAACAAACCTCCCGTGCGTGGCACATCACCCCCTTCTTGTGTCCCAGCACGTGACCATCCCGTGGACGCAGATTTCATGATCATTCAAGTTGATCAATGATCACCATAAAAACGTGGTCAATGGTCAACCTCACGACGGCTCTGCTGGACACTCTGGCTTGGGCTTCGCGTATCCAAGTCAGTAGCTAAAACCTGCTATGCAGTGATTATTAAAAAAACTCAAAGGAGCCAAATTTCTCTGCGATGAGCACCTAGCACTTTTTCCTCGATCAACGCAAATTTGTGCTGACCAATCCAAAGCTCAAACCTTGCGCACGGACCCGTAAAATTTTGTGTGGGACTGGCACGCGGCCGAACGCTGTTACGATAGCTGTGAACCAATGCAGTAAGTGATGCACTATTGATCAACATCATGATTCTAAAATATGCCACTTGACCTGTTCTATCTGCAGGATGGCATTAATATTATAGCCCGATCAAGTACAGCTATCCTGTGCTCATCCTCAAGCATGCATTGGACACACTGGGGATTTCAGGTGCTTCTCCTCCCCCTCCGAGACCATATCACTCACTCGGAACCATGCCATCTATACATCGCCCACATTGGCCCTTCCTCCGTCGCATCCTCCATGCGTCAGAACACCAGGGATAGTATTGCAACATGAGGAGTCACAACGTCTTGGCGACTGCAAGATGAATCTCATCAAGCTGTGCAGCTTCCCTGTCGAGAGGCTAACTGCATACATCATGGCTGTGGACTATGGCGGGATGTACCATTCACAGAACCCTGAAGGGTGGGTCATGGGCGCATCCGTGGTCTTAAGGTCTGTCCTTCCCCTTCATGTTACTGAATCCTGATCCCATGACAACACTCTAAACTCACATGCACCCCCTAGATTATCGTCTCACTAAATCCATTACCGAGTCTTCATCTTAGACGTTCGCGTTCGTACCTCTGGCGTCCATGAGTCTTCGCCTCGAATTATGTAGCATTAACATTATGCCCTACCAACGATCCGTGACTGTACAAACGAGTGCCGACGATCCTGAGCTCAGTGCAACCTCAGAGCCTGCTTATATAACTCTCAGGCAAGATGAATTCTTGATTTTGGACCAGTTCTTGCAACACAGAACCGAGCCTGACAGCTTGCAGGGACGGCTATCCCGGAAGCCTATCCCCATTTTTGTGCATGCTCTTCCAGCCCCGCAATCTGCAAGAGTTGTGATTCCGTCAACTCTTGGTTTAAGCACCACCGTGTTTCAACGTCACAAATCATCCCGCTGACATTTTTCTTTTTCATCCACTGCTAGCCAACAATATTTTTGTTGACGTTTAATCCGCCCAGGTCCAGCGTTCCGTCAATTGCCTTCTGTTTGATCCCGTGTTAGTTCATGCTCATATGTAACCTCTGCGATATTTGCACGACATTCGGTAAGGCTGTTCGCTATCTATTAAGGCCCCACTGATCGCGACGACAGACTCGGATATAACTGTGGGTCTTGCATCGTCGATGTCCATGTTTGGGTTTAAAACTCTGATTTAGAACTTAGACATAATTGGTCTGCGGTTTGGAACATGCATGTTTCTAGATCATGACGTACTGTAAGCCAAATCTCCGACGAATAAGGTTTAGAACAATATCTAAGATTCTAAATGCTGCGGGAAGCTGACTATTACCCCGTGTCAATAAATACTTACGAATGCCCGTTGTTCTGGCAAGCCTATCTGCTCCCTTCCGATCTTCGTCCATTTTAACTCAATATGACCTCCCCACCTGAGATTGCACTGCGTCTTCAGACTGTCAAGGTAAGTCTTGCCACTATTAGACGAACATTTTAGTCCTCACGAGCCCAACTCTGTCAGTATCTCAAGAGTACGTAACACATAACTCCTACTATGATACTGCCGGCTTACCGACATGCAATTATGAAAGTGGTAGGGTTGGCGGTCTTGGTAGGAAATTGAACATATAAATCAGATAAGCGTTGACTCATCAGTGGAAGGTCTTTGACTACTGTATCAAACTAGAAGCCGAGGTGGGTCCTCCATCCACTTAGTATGCTATCAAAGTTTCGATTGACACAGCACTAGATCGACCTCACTTGGGGGAGAAGGTGGGATTTTATTCGGATCCTTTTCGCGGTGGCTCGATATACACCTTTTGTAGACGTCCCAGTGGACTTGATTTGTATGTGTCCGTTGTATTTACAACGTTGCATTGCTCAATTGACAATCAAGATTCTCTTGGACCCACGTCATCACAAGTTGTGAGCACCAATATTAGAGATAGACTGTATTGCATTCATGGAAGCTCTATGCTAGTGCTTATCGCTTTACCAAGTCGGCTCGTGTGAGTACCCCTCCTAACCCTGATATCTGCATCTTGTGCCTTACAATTCCGAATTACTTATAATACAAAGGGTTTAACATAATTGGCACTGTTGCCGCAGAATGTAATGGATACCCCTGCACATTTTTTTAGTATTATCCTCACCGGATATGCAGCACTTCTTCTTGTTAGGACGTACACGTTATGGGGAAGAAACAGAGTGTTACTTGTTTCCCTACTACTACTTGCGCTGGTAAATACATGCCCACAATCGGCGATATCCATCTCAGTCATGACATCTTGCAGGGCTGCATCGCAGGATCTGCGGTGGTCGGTGCCAATGCTTTATCGTGGTTTCAATGTACGTTTCACTGTTACAGCCCTCCTTGGCGAGTCTCTAGTCCGACTTGGCTATCATGTAGACCAGGATCCCCCACTAGCAACTTCTGGTTGTTATCAAAGTCAAAGAATTGCGATATATGCAGTTGACTATGCCCTGTTGGTTCTGTTTGAGACAGGTCATGTTTTTTTCGCCCTGTGGAGTTACTAAAGCTGACCTTACACATAGTCATACTATGTCTCAATGTTTTTCAAGCCTGGTATCGCCGAGGACGACAGGGGAGCCGTCTCATTACGCGTCTGTACTGGGATGGTATAGTTTATGTGTTGTGTATACTAGGTGAGCAATTCTCGTCTTCGGATTTGGGGTACTAGGCTAACACTCAATAACTACATAAGCGATGTCAATAGCCAACATCATAGTTATAGGTTTCCTTCCGGTAAGACATTTTCTTTTCAATTAGGTTTTGCTAATCTTTTGGTGAACTTTGAAGTCGGAATATGCAGAGTCTCTCAACACGTAAGTTTCACTCTCGAACATCCGGAATGTGTTTGACGTATACTACTCAGACTCCAGTTGGTGTTTCACAGCGTTTTATCCTCCCGCCTTCTTTTCAACTTACGAGCCATCATGCAACAACAGCATGAGCAAGCCATCTCCGAGTCAGTTATGGAGATGGTCTCGGGTGATCAGTTCGGATCTGATGTTTCCTCGCGCTAAATCTCTCGACCCATACAATCTATTTGTGTAAAATCAGCTTCTTGAGAGCAATACCAGTACAATTGACATCACTCCATCAAGGCGCTTGCAAAAACACCGTCATATTCCCTGTTATGAAGGTGACATCTGGCGGGTTAGAACTGCCCCCTGCAACATGACCCCCAGATCGATGGAATCACGTCACCTCTGAGGTGCGACACTTCCGTGTTGCTGTCCTCCAGTGTTGATGGTGTCAGTAGTCAACTTGTGGTTGCTTGGTGGGCGGCTGACCGAGAAGTAAAGATCCGTCTTCGAAGGTATAATAAGTCCCTTTGCTTTGATGCTCTTCAAACTTCATGCCCCGATTTGACGGACCCTACAAAGCGCACCCTGCCAGTCACTGGTGATTCATCCACTTACGCGGCTCTGGATCTGCCTAAACATACTAACACCATTCATCCTACCTTGCATGTCTCTAACCTCAAATGGCACATTGCAAACACTGTCGAGCTATATCCGTCAAGAGAACTGCAAAGGCTGAAACTGACAACTTGCGAGTCGTCACAACAACAGGTGCCGAATAATGGGAGATAGAGAGAAGATACTACTGGATGGCGATCCAGTGCGCACTGCGCGTGGACGTGGTTTCCAATACCTCGTATTTGGTGTGGATACGGACCTGAAGGTGGCATCTGGATGTCCAGTCAACAACTCCAAGATAATATTGCGATGCGCTTTAACGCTCAATATTTTCTTCGGAGGATCTACATGATTTCACGTTTTCACCCCGTTAACTTCGGATCACCGCTTTGTGCCAAGTTTATCTCATACTCGGGTCTCTCACCTACTACATTACATATTTGTATCACGCTCTTAGTCTAAAATCCACTGTGACTCCACCATCGCCGTGAGCACAGCAGGTTTCCACGACATCGTGTACAAAAAAGGCCACCTGACTTGTTCTATCAAATGCAATAATATTATATCCTGATCGGGTACAGCTATCCTGTGTCTCCAAAATTCATCTTCATCATTCATCTCATCCCCTGCCAGCTCAAGGATGCGACTCAGATACAACTGTGCTAAGTCTGCACCGTCAATGTCCATGTTCAAGTTTAAAACTCTTATTTAGAATCTAGACACAATTGGTCTGCAGTTCGGAACATGTTTCTATGGCGTCGATGTACTGCAGTCTGCGAGCTAATTTTTGAGTGACCGATAAGGTTTGAATTAGAAATGATATCCAAGATTCTAAATGCTGCGGGAAGTAACCCAGTGTCAATAAATACTCACCAATGCCCTTAATGTTATTCTAGCAAGCTTACTGCTCCCTCCCCATCTTCGTCCATTCCAACTTGACATGACCTCCCCATATGAGATTGCACTGCGTCTTCAGACTGTCAAGGTAAGTCTTGCCACTAATAAACGAATATTTTAGTCCTCACGAGCCCCATGCCAGTATTTTAAGAGTATGTAACACACAACTTCTATGATACTGTCACCTTACCGACATCCAATTGTGAAAGTGGTAGGCTTGGCGGTCTTGGTAGGAAATCGAACATATGAATCAGATAAGTGCTAATATCAATGGTGGTAGGTCTTTGACTATTGTATCAAACTAGAAGCCGAGGTGAGTCCTCCATCCGTTTAGTATGCTATCAAAGTTTCGATTGACACAGTACTACTAGATCAGCCTCACTTGGGGGAGGAAGTGGGATTTTATTCGGATCCTTTTCGTGGTGGCTCGATACACACCTTTTGTTGACATCCCAGTGGACTTGATTTGTACGTGTCCATTGTATTTAAATCGTTTCATTGCTCAATTAACGATCAAGATTCCCTCGGACCCACGTCACCACAGCTTGTGAGTACCAATATTAGAGATAGGCTATATCGCATTGATAGAAGCTCTATGCTAGTGCTTGTCGCTCTACCAAGTCATCTCGTGTGAGTACCTTCCTATCTCTCATATTTGCACCTTGCACCTTATAATTTTGAATTACAATACAAAGGGTTTAACGTGTTTGGCACCATCGCTGCAGAATGTAATGGATGCCCCTCTGCATTTTTAGTACAATCCTCACCAGATACTATCCAGCGCTCCTTCTTGTTAGGACATACACGCTATGGGGAAAAAACAGAGTGTTGCTTATTGCCCTACTACTTCTTGCGCTGGTAAATCCATTCCCACAATTGGCGATATCCATCTCAGTCACGACATCTTGCAGGGCTGCATCGCAGGATCTGCGGTGGTCGGTGCCGAGGCTTTATCCTGGTTCAATTGTACGTTTCATTACAACCCTTCTTGGCGAGTCTCTAGTCCGACTTGGCTATCATGTAGACCAGGATCCCCCACTAGGAACTTCTGGTTGTTATCAAACCCAAAGAATTGCAATATACGCAGTTAACTACGCACTGCTGGTTCTTTTTGAGACAGGTCAATTTTGTTTTTTGTGGAGTTATTGAAGCTAACTCTACACAGTCATATTATGCCTCAATGTTTTTCAAGCCTGGCGTCGCCGAAAACAACAGTCGAACCATCTCATTATGCGTCTGTACTGGGATGGTATATTTTATGTTCTATGTATACTGGGTGAGCAATTCTAGTCGTTGGATTCGGAGTACTAGCCTGAGGCTAACAAAATGCATAAGCAATGTCATTGGCCAACATCATAATTATAGGTTTCCTTCCGGTAAGACATGTCGTTTTCAATCAGGTTTTGCTAATCTTCGGTGCAGTCCGAATATGCGGAGTCTCTGGACACGTAGGTTTCACCCTCAAATATTCTGAATGCGTTTGACATTTGTCTTGTATATTACTCAGACTCCAGTTGGTGTTTCACAGCGTTTTATCCTCCCGCCTTCTTTTCAACTTGCGAGCCATCATGAAACGACGACACGAGCAAGCCATCTTAGTCATGAGAATGGACTCAGATGGATCCGATATTCCTTTGCGCTAAATATCTTAACTTATACGATCTATTTATGCAAAATCGGCTTCTTGAGAGCAATACGAGTACAATTGACATGTCTCCATCAAGGCGCTTGCAAAAACTCTGTGATCTTCTCCGTTATGAAGGCGACATCTGCCGGGTTAGAACTGCCCCCTGCAACATGACCCCAGATCGATGGAATCACATATAATTTAGCATCTCTGAGGTGCGACACTTCCGTTTCGCTGTCTTCCGGCTTTAATGGTGTCAGTAGTCGACTCGCAGTTGCTTGGTGGGGGACTAACCGGAAAGTAAAGATCCGTCTTCGAAGGCATAATAAGCGCCTTTGCTTTGATGCTCTTCAAAGCCTTCTCATAGTCACCGCCATCACGAATGATGGAAATGTCTCCCTTCTGCCATGTGTTCAGGAGCGCGATCATGTCATTTGCATCCCAGTTATTGACATATCCCCCTTCCCACCGCTCCCTGAGCCACGAGTTCAAGTCTGGGTACCTGTTCGCAAAATTTCATGAAGGAGGCTCATGAACATATATTGCGACATGACTTACTCTCCGTCCATCAGGTACTTGTACTCCCGGAACCACTATGAAAGTTGTATTATCCTGATCTTTCGTCGTGAGGTAACTCACAGTTTGTCCATAGGCCCACGCGCTGTAAACTCGACCAAACGCACGGATTCCATGTTGAGGAGTGCTCTGATAATGACCGTCGGCGAAATCTTTGCTTGCCAGCATTGCTGACTTGGGCCCTTCCAGGAAGCTAGAGCGCAAGTTGTATGGGGACAAAACGAAACAAAAATGGGATAAGGACCCACCATTGGTTATGGGGACTCGTGCGAGCAGACGAGCATATAGAAACAAACCGCTCCACGAAGTCCGGGAAGACAACTGGCCAGTGATACGCCTTGGGATAGGACCTAAGAGAGTGCATACGATGTACTAAAGAGGCGAATTACCTGTTGTCCGCCCATAGAAAACCCAACCACGGAAAAGAGCTTGCGCACTCCGAGGTGCTTTGTCAAAACTGCGTGCTGAGCACGACTTGTTGTTGGTGTGAGCCTGTGTTCTGTTTTGCAAGATGTTTCATAACGCACATGTTATCTTCGTATGAAACGAATGGGAAGTACGGGCCACCATAAGGTGCAGGCTAAGGGGCTGTCAGAAAGGGAGTAAAATGTGCAATCGTAGAAACTAACTGTGTTAGAAGGAGACGACGACTATATATTGTTTCAGTCAGCGAAAATGGCAAACTAGAAGGCAACGCACCTCTCCATTACAGAAAAGCGCGAATGTCACCACGAAGTATTTAGTTGGGTCAAGGGCCTGTTGTCAAAGATATGAAGACTGCGCATTCCACTACATGAACGTACACACCTTTCCTTCCCCAACGAGATAGTCTTGACCTGTGTGCAATTAGATAAACAACTGCTTTCATGTTCGTAATCAACAAACATACTCCCAAGGGCGAGTTTTGCCCCATAACATGTCGGGAAAACAATCACTTTGTCATTGCTTGGGTCTCCGTATGTCCGGTATGCGGTCACGGCATCAGGGAGCACTCCTCCCGCTACTTTGAAGCGGCCGTGATGGTAATACTGGGTTGGTGTCTGCATGGGGAGGGCCTAAGGGGGGAGATGATGCTGCCTGTACAACGACCACATGCTTTTATGGCACGCGTGTATGGACTCAAACAGGCGGTCCGACAAACACCATGAGTGTCGATAAGTAGGCTGAACTGGATAATGGATCACATGGTCACGAGCTACCTAAAGATATCAATAATGCTATTTGAAGCTTTTCGGCATTGGCATTTGGTGTGAACGGCGACCGAGAGTACTCACCGATAAGTTGATCCTGTAGAGTGCAACAGGGCGCGTGAGTACATTATTTCGATGGATGATGGGTGGCCGTTATCTCGCTTGCAGTATAAATAATATTCGAAAGCATTTTACAGAGTCGGAGATCCACATGGACTGAGTTACACATAATTCACATGCACGGCTTGGTAGACGATTTCTGAAGTAGAATTAAGGTTCCTCCAAAAATTTCTTCACCTCCGCTTGAACGGACTCATCATCATGCGCGTTTGACCCTGCCCCAGCTACAGAATATCAGGGGCAGTTCGAAACAAATCGAGCCTGACAAACTCACCCATATGACCCCACTCAGAATCAATAATAACTAGCTTTGCGTTATTCAAAAACTGCATCTCATTCTGACTGTCCTCCGGCTATCCAAGGAGCCGTCAGCCGAAACCCAAGTAAAAAAGGTGAAAAACTCACAGTGAAGTACAAGTCTGTCTTGCAAGGCATGATCAGACCTCTAGCCTTGATCGCTCCTAGACAGTCCGCGAAGTAACTTCCGTCACGGATGAGAGAAACATCCCCCATCTGCCATGTCTTCAAGAGTGCCAATAAATCGTTGGCGTCCCACCCTTCTAGAAAACCGCCTTCCCAATCCTCTCTTAAGAAGTCGTTGAGGCTCGTGTATCTAGTGGTTCTATGAGGAAAACAGAGAGTAGAATACAAAAAATGGCGCACTTTCCGTCGAAGAGATAACCTTTCTTGGCAAACCACTGCAGTAATTTCAGTATGACAGCCAGCTAGAGATGCGGAAGCTCACCGCCTGGCTATATGCCCATGCGCTGTATGCACGGCCAAATGCCCGGATACCATGCTGAGGAACGCTCTTGTAGTGGCCATCCTGGAAGTCTTTTGAAGCCGAAAGAGCAGCTTTAGGACCTTCCAGGAAGCTGCGGTTGGATCAACATAGACACAAATGTAAAGTGTCTCAAAGTACCATTGATTATGAGGGCTAGTTCGAGCAGATCCACAGATGGGGATGTATCTTCACTACGGTTTGAGAAAGAGTTACTCACACAATCGTCAAAACATACCTTTCAAGGAAGTCAGGATACATGACAGACCAATAGTATGCCTGCAATGCCTCAGTAAAACTCAACATTACTCTTTACAAACACGTTTACCTGCTGTGCGCCCATTGAAAATCCAATCACGCAAAACACTTTCTTGACACCAAGCTTCTGGGTGAGCACAGCATGCTGCGCCCGGCTGGACTATGTCGGCAACTTCGACCATCTAAGATGGAACAAACTCACATGTTGTCTTCGTATGTGATGGTAGGGAAGTAGGGGCCGTTGTATGGCGCAGGCTACCGTCGTTATGAATTCTTGTGCCAGACAGTGCTCTGAGGAAACTCACTGTGTTAGAGGGTGAAGAAGACTGAAACAACAGATGAGTTGAGCTTGACCACACTATCTTTACCTCATGTAGCGTACCTCTCCATTGGAAAATAAAGCAAAGGTCACCACGTAGTACTTACGCGGATCCAAAACCTATCGCTGGCGTCAGTTCAGAACACAAGAACAAGCTACATGGCATTACCTTGTCTTCCCCTACCATGTAGCTTTGACCTAATAATCCATTTGCTAATTCAAACTCTAGCCATCGTATGAGAAGCAGTTCGGAAGACTCACTGTCAAGCTTTCCCCCATAACACGTAGGAAACACGATAACCGGATTCTTTGGGTCGCCGAATGTCTGGTATGCAGTGATGGCATCAGGCAGTACACCACCTGCAACACGGAAGCGCCCGTGGTGGTAATATTGGATTTCAGCGACCTGAGACATGGTTAGGAGTGAGGGATATTGAATCCATCAGTAGATAAGCAGAACATATAATAGACTCGAAAGAGCTGCGGACACCAGTATTGGACCATGTGACAAGTTTGTGGGAATCGAAGATAAAAATGTGAACGACAGGCATGAGATAGTGATAAACGTAACTCGTGGTTACACGACAATGTCAAGAAGAGCATAGGTATTATTACGCAGAGTAGACTCTTCCATGTGCCCAAGCCTGAGAAGATGGCGTCCGAGTCGAGACTGTTGGCACGGTGCACACTGCGAGGGAGCTTGTCTTCAACAATTAAAATTACTGTACAAGAGAGATCCAATGGTCACGGAAGGAAGATGACCAAGTCGTTCCTGACAGGTGTGCGTTCGCAAAATCCCGAGAGCCTCGACCACGTGATTATGAGCCATGCTGTGGCTGATAAACTGTAACAGTTATAATTAAGGTTTCGGGATGATGCCGAGCTGAGCCCAGCACAAGTGGAAAGTTATCCTCGCCGTCCTCGTCGACTTCAAGAATGGGCTGTATGTCGCTCTCGTTATGATCACCAGTGGAATAACTATGTACTAATGGACTCTACCAGCCAACAAACCTCGTGGACTTCAAGCCGCTCGCAAGCTTCGCAATGACCGCCGTGTCAACCGATGGGTTCGTGCTCGCAATCTCTTGAACATCACATATCTAGACTGCGTGCTTCTCTCAATAGGCGGATAAGGCGTATAAGAAGCGCGCCCTCGGTAACGTTTACAAAACCTCTCCTACTGGAGGATCATCACACGCAAAGGGCATCGTCCTCGAGAAAGTCGGTGTTGAGGCCAAACAACCCAACTCTGCCATCCGTAAATGTGTTCGTGTACAACTTATCAAGAATGGCAAAAAGGTCACGGCTTTCGTGCCTGTATGTGCTTTCATAGTTACTTGTCGCATTAACTAAGACATTGATACAGAATGACGGTTGCTTGAACTTCGTCGATGAGAACGATGAAGTTCTCATCTCTGGTTTCGGTCGTAGTGGCAAGGCCAAAGGTGATATTCCTGGTGTGCGTTTCAAAGTAGTGAAGGTCTCAGGAGTCGGTCTTCTCGCTTTGTGGAAAGAGAAGAAGGTCAGTTTAATCAGATTTATACTGCTATCATTGTACTCATCTTCTTTGCAGGAAAAGCCCCGGTCATAAGCATCATTGTCTTGTCCCTGTCATTTCATGTTATCGCATTACCTATGATTATGCCTGTGCCGCACATGCCGCACGCCAATAAAAAGCCAGAATCACCATGTCATAGGATTACGCCGCACGATTTTCCTGTCTCGTAACCTACCAAGATACAGCGTTCAAGGCGTCGTCATCATTCGTCTAATATCCAAATGCATGTGCATGTCATTTCAAAAACGTCATCACAGGAAATTGTGAATTAAAGTGTGTTAATCGTAAGGAATCTTGTCCGGTCATAAATGGGCGCATCAAGTCATGCCAGCTCATACTATCATGATGCCTTGTCCTTCCATGTACTTCTTCAGGTCCTTCACCAACTCCACCTGATCGTTAACGCTAAGCCCGCTAACGATCATCTGCAAGATAGAACCCACGCTGACGTGGTGTTCTCGAATAAGACTGCTATAATAGACGTAGGTGAACACGCCCATGAGGAATCTAGAAATGATGAGTGTCTTGATAAAATGCATTCGGGATTTAGAACTAACTGGCAGTCCATGCGATCGGTCATCCCTCCATGACCAGGGATGCTGTGGCCAAAATCCTTTATGTTGAAGGCACGCTTGAAACCAGATGCGAAAAAACCTCCAAACGGTGCCACCAGTGATGCGAAAACTGCAAAGACCAGGAGATGTAGTTGGTATGGTGCATAGGGAATCACGGTCACTGATTTTCCGAGCTAATGGTGACTCTGAGTAGTTACGCAATATAACTTTGACTTGCACTCACCAGCCGTGAAAGAAATACCCTGAGAGGCGACCAGATTTGCCACACCTTCCAGACAAATACTGGGTTGGGAGTACACTGAACATTACTCCAGGCGGAGACTCCGAGATCATGCACAGGGCAGATCATGTAGTTAAAGCGCATAAAGTACGAGCCCCAGAATACACTGAACAGGAGGGTACTCCAGAAAGCACCCACAAACCCTTCGACAGTTTTCTTCGGCGAGAGCTTGATCAAAGGTGTACGCCCGACGGTCATGCCCCATACATATGCAAAAATATCATTGCAAATGACCAACGAGGCGGGAACCCAGAACCATATCATACCCTCGAGGATGTTGTTAACGATGAAGTGACTGTAAGATTCCCTTTAGGTTAGAGTCTGAAAGCGGACGAGATCCATACCCAGAGACAACGATCAGCAACAGACTCATGTGAACCCAGCAAAAGAGGCCAAATTGTTGCTTGAGGAATCCACGTCTGAGAGACATTACGAAACCAACGAAGCCGATGGTATAGAGCGTAAAGCTGATAATTCTGTGATTGGTAGCGAAAGGAAGTAGTTGACCGTCCGAGAATATGACATGCTGATCCTCAATTCAGTATATAGTAATTACAACCAAGATTATCCCGCACCTTGAAGTAGTAGATGATACTCTCCCCGTATAGAAAATAGTTAGTGACGGCAAAGAAGTACCAATTTAGAGTCTTGCTCCACGGGTCTTTCTCTCTCTTATTTTCAGCCTCGCCAGAATCCGGAGCATGGCTTGTGAGTGAAAATAGAGCAGTGACTTCGCGGTAGACAATCGTTTGACACAGCATGGCAAGCATGATCATATAAACATGACCCATGAGTAACAAAGCTATGCAATAGTCAGATACAAACATAACTTTCTATTGGAAGTAGAATGCATACCAACGAAAACTCCGATCATAATGAACGTCCATAATGTTCGCGTTAAGATGCTTTGTCGTGTCTTCGTGCGTTCGACTTCTTGCGGGTCATGTTTGCTTTTGAATGCCTGTTCGACGTCAGGTTTTGAGACAGACTGTCCTTCACCACCTAGCAACTTGGTCGGTAGATGCAGTGTAGAGTTGTCTGAGTATTCCGTCAATTCCACTTATAAACACTAGACAGAAGTCAAGATGCATACTTTCCGTGACATTCACGTGTTGTATATCGCCGTTAATAACAGGCCCCGGAAGTGATGGCTCCGATACCTCCGGCTCCGGCTCGGGCGCTGGTTCTTGTGGTGGCTCTGCGGTGGGCTTTGGCTCGGGAGCGGTATATGTTGTAGGTAGAGGATGAACATCTACCGCTCCATCGGCCATACGCGCAATGGACTCTTCCAGAGAGGGTGTATGTCTAGGTGAACTATTTGCGGTACCTGTTTTTGAGGAGGCTTTGAGTTGTTTTCGCCTTTCGGTGCGAGCTTGTTTTTGAGCCTTCTTTATTTGAGATTTCGACGGCTTCGTATGCTCGGTGCTAGATAGCCCAATGAGCAAGCTACGTAAGCGCGAGGTCACGAACGTCTGCGAAGACGAACCTAGTCACCTGTGTCTGCGACGTTTCTTCCTGTTGCTGTTCATCCTCGGAGTCTTCAACGTCCTCGACGGTGAGAGCGTCGAAGGCAGATCTAGAAACAAATGGCGGGTTCGCTGTTGTGCCAGAGGACCTACTCATGGTAACAGACAAGGTAGCAGTTAAGGTTTGATGCGTGCAGTTTTGGTGCAGTTTAAATTCTGCTCACTTCAAGTTCAAATGCAACACGTGCCACAATGCGTCACGCTGAACCAAACATCGCTATGACACATTTCTTCTATGAATGCAATTATTATGGTATGTACATGATGAACCTCCCATAAGCAGGGGGGCAAGGTTAAACCTAGATCGAATCTCTAGGGAATAATGATAGCAGTCTAAAAACCCTTCGTAAAGCCAAATACACTGAAGTCTAGCCATAAAACATGGACTAGAATTTCCAGGCATCGTCGACTTCCATGGCCCAGGGAACTGAAATCAGCGTCGTCAGTATAAGTTGCTATGAAATACTCTCCACGTGAGCTCACATTTAGCGAGAAGTGTCTTTGAGAAGATCTTTTCGATCGGAACGTTGTGGGCACTGCACCATGCAGCTGTTATCCTAGATGTCAAAATGAGTCGCTGTCAATGACGTATGACAGAGCTTGAAACTCACCGAGGGTCCAGGTAATTAATTTTACTAGAGGAGACACAGTGAGAACGTGTTACTTGAGTGTGAGCACGACATACCTTGTACCAAGAGCGACCTCTTTGCCGGCCTCCCGATCGTCCATCTGAAGCTTGAAGGTCTTTATCTTCTCGTTTAATTTCTGGACAGCTTCCTCAATCTTCTCGGGAGCACGATCCCTCTTAAGTTTGGCTTTCCCTGTACCGCGTTCCTCTGCAACCCTCTTGTATTCGGCTTCAGCGGCCTCAACCTTCTCCTGCAGGACTGAGTCAGGTTGAGGTTTATTGCCCTCCTGAACAAGCTTCTCGTTATCCTTGGCAAATTTCTTCTCCGCCTTCTCTATTTCTTTATTCTTAAGGGACTTTTCGTGGTCCTCTATCCAGTCGTCATCTAAATCGGATTCGTCATCGGCGTACTGCTTCTGTTTCTTGAATCTGGGATCCATATTGAAGAGAACATGACGAAGCTTCATCCGATCATACTTCAAGGAACGGAGCTATTGGCGCTGTCAGTCACAGATCGCATCATGGGGAACAAACGAACCCTATCACGCATCTTGCCCATCGATTGTTCGTGAGTCTTCGGTGCGCTACGTTGATGGTTACAAAGGATGGCCACCATACGATTTGCATGATTATATGCATTCAGCTTCTCCTGGATAGTGGCATCCGCTGGCGTTCCTTCGTCCAACTGTTGTTGAAACGTGATGGATGCATTGTAAGTACGAAAAACCTTTGCAGTCAGTCCTTTCATATATGATGCCAAATGCTTATTCAGGAGCGATGTCTAGGAAAGAACTGTCAGCAGAATGTTCAATATTTTGAATGGTGTTGTGTCACATTGACGCGGTCAAAGAGGTTGTCACTATCCTCTTTGTTGTCCTTGAATAGCTTGATATTCTTGAAAACCTGGGGATCCACGGAGACTCGATTGTAGTACCGGATCGAGTCCTTACCCAGGAAATCAAAGATGAGGAAATCCGGTGCTTCTAACGTGACGTGTTCGCACCGCAGAGAGCAGCAGCCCACGGTGTCGGCTTCATCCTCACCTTTTTCATTTCCAGCTCGGAGAGCAAGCTTGTCAATGAAGTACATTGCCGTCGCACGCTGCCTGTCTGCCATAACCTTGCTGCGTAGATCAGCAGAGTAATCTTTGCGAATACGATCCACGTGGTTCTGGAGGAATGTCAGTTGATGGAGCATCAGAGTCAGCAGTTGATTGCACCTTCAATTCACGGGCTTTCTCGAACTTTTGCATGTCGCTCTGCCCTTTGAGGGAGCTGCCTGCAGCTAGGAAGACGTATTTGTAATTGCCGTTGACATTCTCGACCCAGTTGGCTAGCCAGGTGACAGTTTGGTCATGGACTATAGCTTTCCATTGTCCAGGCATATTAGGTACAGGGATAGGCGTTCCTTCACCAATATTGATGGTGATATCGTCCGGACGTACACGGAACTACCATGGAGTGAGCAAATCTTGGTTTTGTTCTAGATCCAAGTGCTATGTGCCCACCTTCAACGCGCCCTTCTTTGGATGATCGCCCCGACCCCTGAACAGACCAGGAGGTTCAACCCTGAAGTTGCCAACCTTTTCCTTGCGACCGTCAAGGAGACAGGTGACATATTTCTCTTCGAATAGGTCTTTCTGCTTCTTGAGCTCTTTCTTCTCTGCGGTGCTGAGAGCCTTCTTTTTGGCTTTCTCTGCTTCAAAGTGTTCGAACATGGGCCGAAAATCGCAATCTTCAAATTTTGTGATCTTGATTTTATTGCGCTGGTTCATAGTTAAGCAAGGCAGAGGCACGCGAAGTATGATACTTACAGGAGGGTAGTCCTGAAGCACTTTCAACCAGTCGTCGAAGAAGTTTTTGTTGAACGTGGCATCTTGAGCGTGCTCAGTTTCCAACATAGCTGCATAAAAACCGGCCACTTCTTCGGACTCTGATGGTAGATCTACTTCTTTACCTACAATGCAATCAACAGACTTGTCACGGTGGAATGAATAAGGCAACCACGTACCCTTATACCTCATTTTCACATTCGAGGGTAAGGATTCGTATGGTGGAGGAAAGATGACACCATTATGCTCTAGCGTTTGCCACTTTACTTCACCATCGTTATTCTGCTGAGCCTCCCACCACCTGTAAACTTCCTCCTCGTCTTCTCCTTCATCTTTAACTTTGCCCTTCTTCTTGGGCTGGGGAGTCGCTGATCCGTCTGCTCCATCCTTGACCTTCTTCGAAGTAACTCTCTTTTTCGTAGGCTTAGATTTTCCATTGTCCTCCACATCCGCATCAGTCTCTTCCTTGACCTTGGACTTTCGTTTCCTCGATACCTTCTCTTTCTTCACAGGTGTGAGTTCCTCGCCTTCAGAAGCGGGAGGTTCGGAAGCGTCAGGGTCTTCGCGTTTCAGCTTCTTCTGTGGGGGTCCTTTCTTGGTGGGAGCACGTTGCTTCTTAGCAGTGGTAGAACTACGTTTGTTATCGCTCTCCGCTTTGACTGCTTTATGCCCGTTTACTGTAGAAGCTTTCGATGTCCCCGGCATCGGTATAGTAGAAGATTGCTTCACCGGAGAAGAAGCAAGAGGGGTATCGTCATCTTCACTGGACGAATCAAGTGCAGCAGCTCTCTTGCGCCGTAAAGACTTTGTTGGAGTTACAGGTTCTGATTTTGGAACCGTAACTTGGGACTACGCAAAACAGTCAACGATGCACGCAGTACACGGACAGGGGTACACGAACTAAAGGCATGTCTTCGTCCTCGCTCATGGGAGAATCACTAGCTTCCTCTTTAGCGTATACATTCGCGCCGCCTCTACCTGTGTTGGCCTTGCCATCGTTTTGGAAGTCGCCAAGTGGTCGGTCGTCATCTGAAGACATATAGGCATCGCTAGACATTATTTGAAGCGATAATTTGATACGAATAGTAGACAAAATGTCTATGCAGCAATACAGAGAATAAGAAGGCAAGAAGAACAGTGGAAATGAAGGACAGGAAGGCCTCTCCCGCGCTGTGGCAGCTGTTAATTTTTCCGAAGTCTTGATGGACCGGCCCTAAGCCTAAAAATCACATGATCACCTGGACTCGGAACCACAGCTGAACAAGCCGAAAACAAGCGGTTTCCTAGTTTCTACATCCAAGTAAGTATAGTTGATCATATCATTCAATAACATTTTGACCTATGGTTAACTTCATCTGCGGTTCAGTCATGTCCAATCTACCTTTGTTTCGTGACCCATGGGCGAAGAGGGAAGCGTGGCGGAAACACCCTGTGTTCACGAACCGTGCTATGTTTTCTAGCATGTTTCCAGGGCTTGGCATCGCACTAGTAGCATTTACTGCGTATGTGGTTGTTGATAATTTCTACTCCAAAGCGCAGCCAGGGGCACAGCAGAAGCACTAAGTTGGTTCGGGTGATGTTGGTAAGTGACAGCAGTAAGTTGTCTGTTTGTGCATTAACGTTTAACTCCCAGATAGAAATGATTTACTGGTGCTCCTTGCATCCTATCAGCTAGTTGAGTCCGTGCTCGGTCGCATAACATTTACCACATTGCACACAAAACGTCGCATCTTCGTGCCATTGCCACGCAGCGGGGTTGATCTGCCAATTCGTGCATTCTGCTCCCCTGTCAGACTTACTCCTCTAAGCAATGGCAATAGCTACTCTTACGCAAACTACTGTTCCAAAAGAAATCAGGTTGAGCGTTGACCTTGAGCACTCGAGCTATTTGCGTTGCCGATTGTACTTTCCTAAGCACCGGTGCCACTTTTCTTTCGGTCTCTCCTCAAATGCATCGCGCACATGCCTTGATTATACAAGCATTTTTGCTGTTCCTCGACGTATTTTGAGGGCTTCCTGCTGCCTGGTGAAAATGGTATCCTCACGCTCGATAATACTTGATTCGTTGGGTTTAAACATTGCGTTATCGCATCCTCTATTCCCCGTCTCTGTGGTAGCCCCTCAAGTAGGAGCAGGTCGTTCGTGACCACCTTACCCAACGCGTTTGCTCTTGGACAGCGCCACAGCTGCTGCTTGATGAGTGAATTTCAGAACAAATCGCTTGATTCGACAGTATTCAGAACCAAATCACAAACTAATTCATTGGAACTATGACTGGACTTTGTAACATAAATAAAATAGTACAACATGATTTCCCTGAAAATAGAAAACCAGGGAATTACTGAAAATTACATCGATTTCCGGGGGGAGGTTTTCCCTGATGTAGAGCATAGAAAAGGTCGATAAAGCTTGAAGGTCTTCCGCCATATACATATTACTCTCCCATTCGTAAAGCATCCACAAGTCCTGGATGGACATGAGAACGTGGCAAAATGCTGCAGGCAAAGACCGTAACGGAACTAAAGCAGTGAAATATTAGTGACGGGATGGAATGACACGAGAAAAACAAGTACTGAGTAAGTCCCGTCGTAAATTGGGGGGCGAATTCGATCACTTTACCCTGGTCATCTTTAGCGGGCGAAAACTCCACTGTGGCCAACATGGTAACAATAGCCGACCACACTGAGGCATCAGCAGCATACCGGCCTGATCAAAAAATGTATTAGCTCATGCCATGCAACACGGCAATGAAAAAGAATCAGCTGACCTGGACATCTACGTCGGCCTAAGCCAAAAATATAGTCAGCCGGGTCATCGTCCGTCAGCGCACCATCGGCGTTCATGAACCTCTCTGGTATAAACGTAGATGCATCGGGGTACCGTTTTGCATCCCGTGAAATGCTCCTGCCAAAATAACGTCAGGATGATCTCAAAACCTGGAGAGAATGTATCTGACCATATGTTGTACATGACAGTCATTCCTGATGTATGATGTTACCGATGATTTCTCATTAGACGAAAACAGCGGACCTTTTGGAATGAAGTGGCCCTCATATATATCATCACTTGAGGTGGCACGTGGCACTATAATATCATCTTCAGTGCAGGCTTGATCCTTCAGCGAGGAAGATTACCGAGGGGTACGACAGGCTGCCATCGCAAAGTCTCCCGTATAACTGATTCAACATATGGTAGTGACGCTCTGTCTTCGAAGGTAGGTAAGCGATCCCTCCCAACCACTGAATCGATCTCCGCTTGTGCACGTTTTTGAACATATGGGTAAGATACCATGGCGAGAGCAAAAGCCATCAAGACTGAAGTAGTCTGTAAAGAACTTCAGCAGTTGACAGTGTGGTTCGGACATCTGCCACTAACCGTTTCGTATGAACCTGAATAGATATGTATCAAAGAACGGTATATCATCCCTTGTAAAAAGATAACAAACCTGCAATAGCACTAGTAGCTGCTTTCTTCAAGGCACCCTCAAACGATGGTCTGGATGTCTGATCTTGCTTCTCCATTCGTTGAAGATTTTCTGCTACCATCGAAAACTGACCAAAGACCAAGTTTTCGGCCTTGACGATCATGCAATCAATGGCTAGGAAAGAACTAATATTTTCAAAAACGAAAGATGCCCACCATATGCTGCTGCGTATATTGAAATGGCACCTCCACCATTTCAGTCATGTGATTAGTCGACGCTTGAGCCTCGCGTTTGATCGAGGATCCCAAGCACCAGTCAGGTAACTTCAGCACTGCACCAGAGTACAGAATGTCAGCTATTTTCATGAGAAAGAGATGAGCTCACAGAAGGGAAAGGTTTTGAGCAAGATCGCTCTCTCTGTGGTTACCACCGGAAGGCCAAGAGCTAGTGCATTTTCTGCGATTCGAACCAGAGGATCATCATGAGGGCTAGTTTGGTAGCCGTATGTCACTGACATCGCAACTGATGACGAGAATCTATGAACAGGTTAATACTCATTCGATGTTTACAAACACATCAACTGACGTTGCGAAGTGAGAATGATACTGTTGAGGGTCATCAATTAGGTTGACGATCATCTCACGAGCCCGCTGGATCTGCATTGGACGAAACTTGAGTGCAGAGTTAGGACGGAAAGTTTGGTGGAAGAGTCGTCGGCAAAGACGCCATTCATCACCATAGCCTGTGAATGCAAAAATAACCGACCAACCAAATCTGCCTGTACTCCATAATGATTGAATGGAATAAAGGTAGAAGAACGTACGGATCGAGTGTGGCTATGGTTGGTTTATCGGAGTAAATGCGAGAACGCTTGTCCATCAAGGCTTCTGCAACGTGCTGAGAATTGATCACCACGATTTCCTGGCCTAGAAGTTGCACGAAAACCAAGTCTCCTGATACAATGATTTGTACAACGTATGCATCGTCTAGATTCTGACCACGTACCATAAGTAGTAGCCCATTTGGCATAAGTCAACCAAGGCTCCTTGGTGTCAACAGACAAGATGTTTCCTAACAGTGGGAGTGGCACTGGGCCAGGGGGAAGTTTTTTCTGTCTGTTCCTAATGAATCGCTCGAGGGATGTGATAGCAACGAAGGAAGCAGACAAGACGGCGAGGTTAACAATTGCATCAACTGAAGGAAACATGGTTAGAACGGTGTGTGAATTGATCCAAAGGCAAAACAAATCTAATGAGTTATAACTGCATGGGGAGCCGATTATCACGCTCTCTACCTGACATGCTGGAGGAGTTGAAAAGAATAAATTCAATAATAAGTAAAGTTGGACTTAGTATACATATGGGCATTAACCCTGTGAAGCCGGAATACTATGGCCCTAATCAGAAAATGCGAAAGCGCTCACAACACAAAAGGTTCCTGTGGATATGCTTTGGAGTTAGCTCACTTCAGCGTCCGAAAATACTTGTTTGTTGTTAAGTTAGATGCCACACCGCTTTAGAGACATCCAGTGAACCGGTGAACAAATAGATTAGCATCGTCTCCGCAGGGAGATGCCAAATCCCTTTTCGGTTCGAAAATGGGTACCTCGGTGAGTGTGTTAGGTTCTCGATGTGCTCAGCGATAAGTGCCTTGTTATACATCAATCTGAAGCGGAGATTTTACATACAAGTATTTTTTTTGGTCTGGTATCCGGGATCACAGGAGAGTCACGGCGTTTTACGTGCTATCGCTATGCTGCGCGTTCTGATCGTCAATTGATGAGCAGACTCTGCTAAAAAATTGTCGAGCGGGGGACACAAAATGCTAGTACTAGAAAAAACATGAATCGGTTTCTGGGAGGAACTTGTTGTACGAGTTATGTACCTGGTAGAAAACAACTTGAATATGTCTCCTGACTGTTGGCATTTTCGTAAGAACGGGAAAGATAACATCTCAGTACTTCTCGAAAAGGAACCGAAATGCTCGATCTTTACTATGCAATCTCATCATAAGATATATATAGCTATCCTCTATGACTGGTCTGACCGATCATGATCATGATCTGTATTTAGTATCAATATCAATTATCTCTGTGACAACAACGAAACTGACCGCATTTTAAAAAATATTCATTGTCCTTTGGGGCTACTAGTATATCGGACATGCTAAGCCCTTTTCGCGGAGGGCTTACTCCGACCTAACTACCGCATGTATGTATGGAATCTGATGTGCTGTAAATACATACACCGTCAGCAAAATGCCGGGCAAAGGTCAACACTAATCTCCTACGATGTGGTGAGGTGTGTGGGTCAATAAATTGATGTTTGGAAATTTTCGCATCGTGACGACACATGTTTGACGAGGCGTCTCTCATAGTTAGAAAGGCAATGTTAATGAGCGAATAGAAGCAGAGCAAGAGATTGCGCAGGTACAAAGCATCACTAGGGCGCAATTGCAAGGAAGTCAGCAAATAACAAGCTATTCCTTATTTGAAAATTTTGGCTACTTGGTGAGTGGTGATTGTGGTCTTGACACGTACCTGTGAATCCAGCATCGTTCTGCACGGAGATGTTATTTTTAAACGGCTGAAAAGAATTCCTCGGTGAATGGGCTTAGGGTCTCGATATGCTAGGCCTAGTCTGAAGCTTCCTCCGCTGGCTATCCCCGACCGTAAATCACCCTACCGGTGGGTCACGGTTATCATATGCAGCTGGCCGGTCATCAGACACGGTTGCAGTCGTGCGACGGAATATTTACTCCAAGTCTCCCACTAGGTACATAGCATCAGTAGAACAAGACAGTCGGCGCGGTTGGGATAGCCGTAGTCTCCTGACAAGAATTTCGAGACCGCTGCCATCCCCGCCATCCTAGCTTTCCTCTTGCCCTAGTTAACAGACCCTCATCCTAGGAGATGGGCGCCTGCAGCAACATGGTCTGCCCCGCGGTATTCTGATGGGCGCTCTGGCTTGAGCTTCGCCTATTCAAGCCAGTCACTAATCCGGAGATGAACTGTTTCAGAATTATCAGGACGAATTGCATTATCAAATAGAGCAAAGTTGAGGCCGTGAGTTTCGGTGTTCGGTCAGTTGCAGATAACAAAAACGAATGGAAGAACAGAACTGCTTCAAGTCAGCTTTGCTCAGTCAATTGCTACTCCGGAGCAGAATAGGAAGAATTGCATTATCAAAGTCAGGAATGATGATGGAACCGGGTTGCAAGGTGATAAGGCTGTGTGAGTTTCAAGTCGTAGTGCTACCGCGGTCCGGTTCAACAAAATAGTTGAACTCCGAATTGGACCATCGCGAACGGTTCAAAACGGTCAGGCTCGGTTTTTTGGGAGTTCGAACCCGAACCTAACCCCAAAAAGTTTCAGCGAAGCGAAACGCGCGATAAAGTTGATATTGAAGGGTCAGACGACGAAGTGAGCTGTCGACGATACCAGAAGTGTCATTGTTAAAAAAACACACTGAATAATCATGCATTTGAGTCGAAATAATTTAGGATGTCGTGATCCCTGGGAAATAAAATCGGGTTGTGCGAAAGCTTCGAGAGTTTGCTGGCGTTGTTTCGTCAAAAGGGCACTCGTAAAGTCCATTGGTTAGACTGTCGATAGCTTCGAGAGTTTGCTGGCGTTGTTTCGTCAAAAGGGCACTCGTAAAGTCCATTGGTAGACTGTCGATAGCTTCTAGTATAGATGATCCGCAGCAAGTAGCGGCAAGTATGAACGTAAAAATGAACAGCAGGTGCAAATGAGGGCGGATTAGTGGCGGCAGACGCAGATGAGCAGGGACAGATGAGTACCGACTGATGTAAACAGGCGCTGGCAAGTTTGAATAAGCGAAAATGCACATGGATCGTGATGGATGAGTGAAACCGAGTCCTAAGAAAACACGCACAGACAAGGATAGGCGTAAAGCAAGCGGGTCACCGGGGTAGCACAGATATCCAGTGCACATACACTGGTAGGACAATAGTGAGCGAATAAACAAACTTCTGCTGCTGCAAAAATGCCATTGCTACACATATAATACTCACATGGATTGATGTGCTGAGTGTTCACCAAAAATTTTAGGCGCGCTGACATGCGTCACGTCGTTATCAAACACCATCATAGGTGTGTGGAGTTACAGGTCGGAAGTATACAGAGTACGGAAATGGTGGCAACTGTTCCGGCCATTTGCGCGGAGGCTGGTTAGGAATGTTGTTGACCGACCAGTGATAAGGAGTTACTAGACGAGCTGGTCAAGGGTGCCTGTATGAGGGAGTGGAATCGCTATGGATTTGGAGGAGTTGGGCAGCAAAACGAGTCGATGTTTGGGTGGCGAGGGATGTCGAGCCGAGTGCTTCGAGGTTCGAGAAGGCGAAGATTGCCGCTGGGCCCGGGTTGTTCCGTCAGGTTAAGTTTTGAGTCTCATTATTAGCCATACGTAATACAGGTGGACCGTCGTCAAAAATCAAAACGGTTCGAGGTTCGGTACGGTTGAGGACAGGTCCGAACCAACATAGGACCATTCGGCCAATATTAATATTTGTAGACCGTATTATGGTACGGTTATGGCTAACACCTGGACTGTAGACCGGACCACACAAGAACCGGTCCGAACAAAAACGAATAGAAGAACAGTACCATTAGTGCTTCAAGTCAGCTTTGCTTAGTAGCCAGCCGCTAATCCGGAAGTGAACGTTTGAGCTGTTGCAGAATAGGAAGAATTGCATTATCAAAGTGATGATGTGAGAGCAGGGTTGCCGCAGGGTAGCAGGGCTGTGAGCTTCGGTATTGATCGATCATCTGCCACTGCAGACGACGCAAACGAACGGAAGAACAGAACTGCTTCAAGTTAGCTTTCAATGCTCAGAGGGTCCTCGATGTAGTACTTACATATTAGACTAGGCTAAATCGGTTACCCTAGTACTAATCAGCAAATGCAACTTGGTTTGTTATGCTCATGGGCATATGCCTTTTAGTTATCTCAGATCTGAGACTCCAAATGCGTAATCTTTGGACATTCGACTGCCACTTGATTATGGTAGATTCTCAGTGTAGGCATCAGTAGGTCCAAGTCGCTATACCAAAATTTCCTGTTTAGTGTTGTGTATCAGCCGGAAGTATTTTCACTAGACATTTCTATTTACGTCATATTTTCTTCTTCTAGCACCGACCTATCGTCAGGTCGTGGTCTGTGTTGGAGTCCGAAGGATCCGAACCAGGAACGACGAGAGGATCGATTGCAACTTGGCCCAGGGGGATGCGAGCGAGCGACGTTTTGACGTCGGCTCGTGCTCGTCCGAGGCTATTGAAATCAATGTTCCCTTCGATACGCGTATTCATTTCGTCTCTACGCCAACACGTATAAAGCTATCACTCGGAGCAGATCCGTACGAGCATTTTGGTTCCTTTTCGAAATTGAGATGTGAGCTTACCGTTATCTTTCCCATTCTTACGATTTGCCAACAGTCAGTAGACATATTCAAGTTGTTTTCTATCAGGCACATAACTCGTACACTGGTAACAAGTTCCTTCTAGAAACTCATAACTATATTTTTAGTAGCATTTCGCGCCCCCCGCTCGACAATTATTCAGCGGCATCAACATCAATCGACGATTTGAACGCGCAACATAGTGATAGCACGTAAAACGCCGTGACTCTCCCGCGGTCCCAGACGCCAGACCAAAAAAATACCTGTATGTAAGATCTCTGCTTCAGATTGTGAATCTGCAGAGGTTTGCTAATGCTAGGCACAGACTCGCAACAGCTAAGCTAACCACTTCGGTCTTGGACTGCCTCTAGGCATTCAAATAGCCGAACCTGTGGAGGAATATACGCTCTAATCGTGCCCCATTTTTCATTTTTACCTGCGAACACCTATCTGATCCTAATGCCATTTGCCTCGAGTTATACCACTCTCATCTTCGACATTGGTGACGTTTTGTTCTCTTGGTCCCCCCAGACCAAAACCTCCATATCCCAAAACGTTTTACGTAAAATTCTATCATCTCTCACATGGAATGACTACGAGAGGGGGAGGATGTCCCAGACTGAGTGTTATGCTAGGGTTGGTGGCGAATTCTCTGTAGACCCCACAGAGGTTGCTCGCGCATTTCAAGATGCTCGCGACTCTCTGCAGTCCAACGAAGAACTCATATCGGTTATTCGACACCTCAAAGCACGCTCGGACGGAACGTTACATGTCTTCGCCATGTCAAATATTTCTGCGCCTGACTATGAAGTTCTTCATACCAAGCCTGCTGATTGGTCGTTGTTTGACGGCATCTTCACCTCTGCCGATGTGGGCGAGCGGAAACCTAACCTTGGCTTCTACAAGGCAGTAATTTCGAGTACAGGGGCCGACCCCTCCCGCACCATCTTCGTGGACGATAAAATGGAGAATGTCCTCTCCGCGCGTTCGCTTGGAATGCGTGGTATCATTTTCGACGATACCCGTAAAGTCATCCGTGTGCTTTATAATCTACTTGGAGATCCTGTCGAAAGGGGCAGACAATACTTGACTATGAATGCGAAGAAGCTCCTATCCGTAACTGACAACGGCATTCTCTTACGGGAGAACTTCGCTCAGCTCCTGATACTAGAAGCAACTGATAACCGGTAAGAAGATTACCTTTCTTTCCCCGCACTCATTGAACATCATGTCAGGAGTCTCATCAACTTGACTGATACACATCGGACGTGGAATTTCTTTCAGGGTATGTACCAATGTTTGCCACCATTATTTAGCAGCTGATTTGGTATCAGGAAAACCATTGCTTACTACCGAAGAGTTTCCCTTTGACCTGGATACCACTTCCCTTGCGCTGACCGTAATGGGCAGCCCTGAGGACGTAGCACACTCCGTCATGGATGACATGCTTGACTATATTGACGACGATGGGATTATTCAGGTACGTGCATTCAGTTATTCTTTCCCATGCGTTAGCTGACCTCTCAGTAATCACAGACATACTTTGATCACCGCCGACCTCGCGTTGATCCGGTCGTGTGCGTCAATGCACTCACACTGTTCTATTATTATGGACGTGGCCATCAGCTCGATCGCACCCTTCACTGGATACGCGAGGTGCTCCTGCATAGAGCTTATCTCGACGGTACGCGATATTACGCAACACCGGAGTGCTTCCTTTTTTTCCTTGGCAGGCTGCTTGAAATCAGCAGCGACGTCTACTTGGCGGTCTATATAAAGCCACTACTGATCGAACGTGTTCGGGAGCGCATAGGGGCTGATGGTGACGCTCTGGCGCTCTCCATGCGCCTCCGGCTTTGCGCGTACCTTGGATTGCACAACGATGTTGATCTTCGTACTTTGCTTCCTCTGCAATGTGAAGATGGAGGCTGGGAAATTGGGTGGATCTATAAATACGGGTCCTCCGGTATCAGAATCGGAAACCGCGGCCTCACCACGTCCCTGGCTGTGAAAGCCATTATAGAGATGCAGAAACGCTTCCCTAGTCCCTCTTCGTCCCCTTCTACAGTACCCGCAATTCCCCTCGTCAAGCAGGCTTATACCACTGCACAACCTCCTGAACGCTTTTTGCAGTCCAAGAGCGACTCTTCAACCAATCCCAGCTCTGTAGCGACAAGCCCATCGGCCAGTACTGGGCAACACCCGTAAATCGTTCCATTGGTTCTAAGATGGTCGAAGAAATGACGAAAAATGTGTATGAAGCAATGTTCTGATGACATATTCTATGCCCTGGTTTGCGGCCTCTCTGCTTTTTCTCACTGTCGAATACCTTTCTCCAAAGGCACTTTACTGTACCTTTCTGTCATGTTTGTTGTCCTTGAATGGAATCCTACGCACTTACTGTAATTATATGCCATCGTTTAAAGTCTAGACCCCTCGCAACACCATGTTGTAACCGTCTCATGTTCACCAAGATCCTCATACGATTTCCAGAGATGTCGTGCGACAGAATTCCACTGACATCGACTCAAACAAACAGTGTAGTACGCGAAACTTCGGTTACACTTGACCCTTCACACGAAGACAGGACTTCCCAGCACTGAGCGACCCGACCACCCTTTCTTTATCTGAGATCAGGGGTAGGAGGTTCACTGACGGTCTCTGTAGAACACCACAGAATATTCCACAACGGCTCATATTTGAGCTCTCGTAGACGTACACCTTCAAGCGTCATTCAATTGATATTCGAATAAAATCAACATCGACAAAAATGCATGCCTGGCGACGCGCTCGCGCTCAACCCGGACATAGATCCTATGGTAACCCATTTAGAGCAACCTGCCCTCCAAGACACCGCTTGTACACTTCGTTATCAGTCTCTTCTACATAGTGATATCCCAAATTGCCCAAAAACTCGTCAAATGCCGCGTAATCTTCTCGCGGAACTTGGATGGCCGTTAGCACTCTGCCGAGGTCTGCGACAAATTCATGAGCAAACAAAAGACGACAAAGAAGATATTGCATGAACCTGCGCCGTGATTGCGGTAGTGGAACATTGATATATTCCAGCCTAATCCAGGATAGATACCCTGAAGGAACTTGCGCAGGGCGCCCGGTCGTTCAGGAAATTCTGGAGCAAGATCCTGGTAAGCACAGCACGAAGTGGAAATACCAATGATGCCTACCAAATCGGAACACTCTTTCGTTTGGGATCGCTGTGGATCCACGTATCATGTACCGTGCGTGAGATTTGGCGACTTCGTCATCGCTAACATCATATGCAGTCATCCCTTGTTTTTTTATTTCTTGAAGCACCTTCTCCACTTCTTTTTTTCGAAATGAGGTATCTAGCTTGAATGAGAGGAATAGATGTGCGGTGTTCGGATCATTATAGCGGTATATGAATTCTGTTGTTGCCCGCGGGTGGATGACGGAGTGCAATGCGAAGAAGCTGTATAGGCACGAGAAGAGAAGTCAAGTAATGAATAACAAATGCAAGGGACAGAACGGGATGACTCAGAAAGAATGAAGAACTTGCCTTCCGGGCCTCTCTGGTATCTCCACGCTCAGAAGTGCTTCGCGTCCCTCGCCCAATTCTGCACGCTCTGCAACGAAACGCAGCCTATCAAAGTTCACGTTGGCTCCACTGACAACTGCAACGAATTTTCGGTTTGCGCCGACAAGATTCTGACTTATGATGTGTCGCTTTAAGCCTGCCAGACTTAAGGCTCCGGAAGGCTCTGTGACGGATCTAGTTTCTATGTTCATGAGCAAGGTAAATATTCTACGAGGAATGGAATATCCCTTACCTTCGAAAATATCTTTGATAGCAGCGCATATTTCATCGTTGTCGACTAGGACTACGTCATCCAAGAGTTTCTGACATATCCTGAATGGCTCCTCGCCAACCATTCTTACTGCTGTGCCGTCTGCGAAGGGGCCAACCTCGGCTAAAGTCACTCTCGCCCCTCTCTTCAGACTCTGTGCCATAGCATCTCCATCAAAGGTCTCAACACCATGCACTTTTGTGTTTGGGTTGGCTATGCGTTTAACATACTCGCAAATTCCAGAGACAAGACCGCCGCCGCCAACTGCACCGAAGATGGCATCGAGATTGTCAGAGTCTGGCATTTGTTTTAATATTTCCATGCCGACCGTACCCTGACCTGCGATTACGAGGGGGTCGTCGTATGGTGGGACAAATACCAGTCCATGGTTGGCAGCTAATCTTGCACATTCTGCCTTTGCTTCGTCGAAGTCAATACCATGGAGTACGACCTTCGCGCCGAGTCTTTCGACATTGCGAACTTTGATGGATGGAGTACCCTTTGGCATCACGATGGTACAGGGTATCCCGAGACGTTCGCCAGAGAAAGCTACTCCTTGTGCATGATTGCCTAAAAACGTCAAATCAGCGATTCAGACGGGGAAATTATTGCTAAAGCGTCGCAAGTATGCACACTAACCAGCACTGCATGTGACAACACCTTTCCACCTTTCTTCTTCAGATAGTCCTGCCATGAAGTTATAGGCACCTCGAATCTTGAAGCTGAAAACCTCTTGTAGATCCTCTCGTTTCAGCCATATTTGATTGCCTAGCTTTGCACTAAGGTTTGGAGCGTAGACCAGGGGTGTTTCTTTCAAGATCTCATATACTTTGGAAGTAAGAATGAGACGAAGGTAATCAGGTTCTTTCGAAGATAGCAAGTGATGTTCAGATAAGCGCGGATAGATGAGAGGCTGAGGTGCGTTAGAAGAGTACTCTAGAGTTGTGATAGCTGGTGCCATAGTTATGAGAATATGAAGACATATCTACGCGAACTTGAAACAAAAACCTTTTATGTAACCGATGAAAATGACTCGGTGCCTGCCGGAACAAGAAAGCGCGTAAACCGTAGTACCAATTGACTAGTCCAGGACGGAACATGTGTGTATTCATATACTATATGGGCTTCATGCTATCAGCCAGACGGCAACGCAAGAACCATATAGGCATTTTCCTGTTACAAAAACGCGAAAATGACACGTGCGTCATACACTCGTGGAGAGATCACGTGCACAAGATATCATGACGGCGGGGTATATGAGGAACACTGGCAAAGACACTAACAACTCGACTTGCACAGTCGTTCAGTTTGAGGATTATCTGGTTGTTAGAAAGATAGAATGTAAGAACGTACCAAGTGCGGTCTTATAAGCACCCAATCCCAACTGAACGACCACCGTACCTGACAAAGACCCGATTGGTTTTTGACCAGATTTTTTGTATTCTTTCCATGAGCTGCTGCACCGGAAAACTCGGTGAAGTAAGATAGAAGAAGGAATAAAGAATTGAAGTGACGAAAAGAGTTGAACGATTGTGCAGAGAAGAGTCGGAAGATAACAAGTCTGCTGCCAGCCCTAAATAAATGTAAAGTCAAACTATACTCAGATCCACCACAAGCTTGCCAAACAAATTCTTCCCCTCTCCCTGCTCACCACCAGTTTATGGCCCAGTCCTCAACAATGGGTCCTCCTCTTTCACCACGAGAAACACGACGTTCAGGAAGACGTTCTGCTCCATCTGCTTCAGCTAGTACTTCTAAATCTCCAGATTCCCCGGCCTCTGAGTCCCTCCCCCGAACAAAGGAGCCTATCACACGTCCTGCCATACTTTCCAACAGCAACAACAACCGCACAAAGCGTTTAAAACAAGAGGATCCCGAAGAGCCTGTCCCTACCAAGAACGCTCATACCAATGGCGCCAACTCCAGCCATGGGAACTCAAACGGGCGCGCAAAGCGCAAGGCCAATGGCAAGGAGAAAAACTCGACATCTACTGACCAGTTGATCGAATCAGCTTCCACTAAACTCAGTAACTCTAATACCGGAAGCGCCGCAGACCCTCAAGACGATGACCCAGAGGAACAGGGTATCACGCGTTGTATATGTGGCCAGAATGGTATGTTATCTTCGACTATGTATCGATTTCTCTCTTATCTTTTCAACAGAGGAAGATGCTGATGCGGGAGAGTTCATGGTCCAGTGTGAAACCTGCAATGTCTGGCAGCATGGCCTATGCATGGGGTACCAGCATGAAGCGGATCTCCAGGACGAATACCACTGTGAACAATGCAAACCTGAGCGTCACCTGGACCTTCTGAAGTAAGCTGTTTTTGGTTCTGTGTTCACTATCTCGTTTTGACTAGTTCCATTTCCACAGGAGATTAGCCAAAAAACCTCGCCAATCATCTGCCAACTCACACCACACTGCTTCGCGTCTGTCACGATCACACTCTCCGACACAACTTTTGAAACCACCCAAACGAAGGAACACGATGAACAGCCGCGACGCGGCGTTTGACGAGAGCTTAAAAGAGATCATTGAAGCGACGGCAGCTGAAGCTGCAGCCGCGACAGAACCACATCCCGCTCAAACAAATGGGAGTGTCAATGGTCACGCTGAAAGCCACGAAGATCAAGATTCGAACAGTCGCAAAAAGCGCAAGCGTACAGAGGACGACGTGTCAGTATTCTTGTTATATTCATGTGTTTTTGTTTGTCTGACGTCATGACAGTGTTCCCAAGAAGCGTACACGATCAGCCTCAACTGCCTCTGATCATCAGCCAGAAGTAGTTACAACCGTGCCAGAGGAGATACCAGCTCCTCCGGCTAAAAAGGCAGGTGGCGGCGCGAAGTCCGGCAACCGCAATCGAAGAGGCGGTGGATCACGGAAGACAGCAGTTGTTAATCAAGATGCAGTCACTGCCGCTGAAGGTGAAGAAGGTATGTCAGTAGCAATTCAATGACAAGGATAAAACTCACGTGACTTAATGAAATTCAAGTTGCCGGTCCCAGTAAGCGACCTACGGCAAGCCTCCGGAACAAAACAAACCCCACACCCAAACGACCACCTCCATCTTCTCACGCTGGGAGCGTGCCAAGTGACCCTACCAGGCGCGCCGGTGGAGTAGTTATCAGCTCAGAGAACTCTCGTGCATACCGCAATTCCCATGCTTATGCAGTTTCGCAACAACCAATGTTTACGTCATGGAACTTACCAGACTATCTTGCTCACCTGGAACCAATGTTGCCGACAGATACGCCCCGTCCACTTGAAGTCCGCGGTTCGGGCATTGGGCCCAGAGAGTCGGTCGACCGGACCATGGAGAGGGGTGTGAAGGTCAAATGGCCCAGTAAACGAATGAGTGTGGGGGATATGAACAAGCGCGTGCGTGCATTGGTAGAGTGGGTGGGAAGGGAACAAGCTGGGGCGCTTGACCGTGGGCGCCGGAGAGATGCGCTGGAGAAGGCGCTGAGGGCGGTGAAAACACAGAATTCCACAAACCCCTCGCCTCACGATGATCGTGAAGTAGGTGGAGGAGACACCATGGGCTCACCTATGGTTTTGGACAGTATCGCCACCATCTCCGTCGACGGGTCCTCAGATACCAGTTATGGGAATGCGTCAGCGCCATCGACGATGAAGATGATGGAGGAGTTGATGGAGGAACTGATAAGTTTCCAGGAGCGGTTTGGTCCGGGCGTGAAGACGAGGGAGCGGGAACGAAGAATGGTGTCAGGATGATCATAGACTTGGTATTAATCTTCGATGTACCCCTTCCATCACGCATCATTACTTCCTGACCACTTCACTAGCATATCTTTGTATTATTGTGATACGGCACCAACTTTTGCATCTAGTGTCGCGCGAGTTCTCTGACACGCCGTACCCTGAAGAAACCGTGTGTTGACATCCCACATTGAGGTTACTATACTTATACGTACCCAGGTACTTGACGTGGTATATACAACAAAAATTAACGATACTTAGAGGAACAGGAACACATCAAAAATCATACATACTGAGCTCGGCACTTGTAGAGAACTTCATGACGTCTTATGGAAATATCAATACAAAGTGCAACAATAAGAAAAAGCACATCAAGCTATCGATCAGCTTAACCCAGCTCTCGGTCCTTGCGATTTTGTGGAGGGAATGATCCCATAAAGCATAATGCATGAGGCGGCTCAAGCGCTCATCGGTCGTGAGGCCTTGAGGTTCGACGCATCCAGCCCTGGGTCTTCCTGCATGCACGTGATACCGATAAATTAAGTTACCTAATTCGGAACGGAGAAATCAGGCAGGCCAACTGCTGCGTACGACGTCCGCGACCATCAAACATTAGGCGTCTATGTCATCAGCATCGGCACGTTCAGCCAACGACGAGGAATTTTCACCGCGCGCTCTCGACCTTGAACAGTCGCCCACGTTCTCCGGTAATGAAGAGGACGCAGAATATGATGAAGGCGGAGGCTACTCCACGCGAATGGAGGAATTGCTCAGCGACGGTGACGATGAGAATGGTGACGCGGAAGCGGAGGAAGATGGTGGTGGATTCGTCTACGATGGTGTAGACGCGGATCAGGTCACAGGCGACAACTATCGAGATCAGCTGCGAGACGTTCTCGGGCCTGAGGATTCATATGATCATGATGAATCTGAAGAGCAGGAGGTGGAGCAGGCGCTTTTGCAGGAAAATAGCAGTGCTTCTAATGAACTGCCTCGTGATGTGCCGGTAAGCTGTGGCACGCCTCACAGCCTAGACATGTACTCATGCATGTGCAGCGTGTTGATATTCAGTTGGACGTCGCCGCTCCAACATCTGCTTCCTTAGTCATGTCTTCTCTCCAACATAGCAGAGTAGGGTCTCCTGCGCCGAACGGGCCCTTCTTACAATTCCCCAAGCCATTCCTACACCCAAACGTCTCCCGACTCCGCTCCCCTGCTCCCAGCACCGAATCTCCCCATGCCCAAGCTATAAATAGTTTCTCCCCGTCCCCATCTCAATTTTCAGAGATTTCGCGGACTTCGTCTCCTTCAACGGGCAATAATGGACTTTTGATAGGCCAGGAGAGAGAAGTGTTTCGGTGGTCGTCCCTCCGGAGCGCAGGGTCTCATCTTTACAATCAGAAACCTGCAAAGGCATCAAGTGTCCTTGGGGATATAATTGCAGGAGCTCCCATGGTCCTGGCTGCCAATGGGTTTATCTGCGTTGGGACAGATCAGGGCCGCATATTCGTTTTCGATTTCAAGCAATCATTGAAGTGTATATGCGGTAGTGACTCGTCAGGTAATTTCAAATCTGTTGAATCGACATTGGATATCTGATTAATCTCGTTCAGGATCAATTCTTGGGCCCGTCTCCGCGGTTGCGCTATCGAACGACCATACATTTGTCGCATCTGGGCATACTACGGGCTACATCCAACTTTTCAACTTAAAAAACCCTGAGGTCGCAGCTCGTACCGTGACACCTGTTACTCTTGCCGCTATCACGTCTGGCAGACAGGAAGGACATCTTTCAGGCTCCCGTATCATCAGCATATCATTCGTGGCTGGCCGTCATACAGCTGTGGTCTCCGCTGATGAGCACGGTCTATCTTTTTATCACAGCCTTGGCAAAGTCCTATTTGTGGATGCATCAGACACGATACGCATTTTCGGGAACTATCATGGAGAGGACGCTCCCGAAGCTAGTATCTCTGGTCATCCCGCAGACCCACTTTCCCAACAGAACGCAGTCAATCGCACTTCCTTTCGCCGCAGAAGACGACCACACAATACAATCCTGGCAATGAGCACTCTTCCTCTAGGACCTCTTCCACATTCCACCGATGTATATCAGATTGCTGCCTTGCTGACGCCTACAAAACTCGTTGTTGTGGGCCTGCAGCCTACTCCAAAGACATGGCTGAAAATTATGCGAGATGAGGAACAATTGTCGTTCCCCGCTTATCGAAGGAG